AGAAAACAAGGCCATGTCGCCAACGATTACTAGGTCGGGGTTGGCTATTCAGTCATGCTCTCGAACGATTATCTTGGGCAAGCAAGTCGACCGAGTAAGCCTGATGGCCTGGTCTTTGGGGAAAGGCAGATAACAAGGCGACATGGAGGGATGCCAGGCACTCGATCAACAGCGCAGGGGGTAGACGCACCAGAGTGGGATTCGTGTGACCAATTGCCGTCGGCCTTCTTATCAACCCTCGATGTTACTATTCCGCCTGTGCAAAAGAAGACCAATTGTTAACCGAAACCACCCAGTGTGGCGTTGTTGAGGCGACGATGCAGCATTCGCGTGAGACGTCAGTCATCCGAAGCGTAGCTTTCTGTGGCGTCAAATCGGTTGTCACTAATCTACCTTGATGATCTGCTTTATGACACTGAAGTCTTCAAAACGCGATCTTCCCGTCCATACTCGGTGTCAAGTGCTAGTAGTCAGACATAATGCCACCAGATGCTCCAAGCAAGGGCTCAGTAAAGTCTCGTTGCGGTAAGATAAGTAGCTTGCACAACAATGGCTCAGAGTGAATTCGAGACAGTGAGGACGGGTATTCATACTTCGTACATGATCAAAAACACATTCAAACACACGAAACCCCCAGCTTTTCATGCAAAATAGCACAACCATCCACGCCATTGGAATCAACACAGCTTTCGGCCTCAAGACAGCTTCTCATCACGCTTGCCGGTGGTGTTATGCCCAACAGGCTGGATATCCTCTGAATCAGCTCCCCGCGCACTCTCCCCACCATTGACGTCCTTTGGAGTAACGATTCCAGTGGTGGGGATGACATCATGGCCCTCTGTGTCCTCAATCTCCTCGTCGAGCACAAAGTTGAGGAACATGCAGACGAAGGCTGTGATAGCGAAGCCCGTCTCCATGATGAGTACGATGGCGTCGAGGAACCCCCTCAGACCGCGGTTGTCACCAGCATACGTAAAGACGTTGTCAAAATACGTAGGAACGAGAGTGGCGCCATAGCCGAGCGTGAGACCAGCGGTCAGGATGAAGCGGTTTCGTCGGTTGAAAGGCACACCCTTCGTGATGATGGCCATACCGGAGACGGCGACAGCCGTAAAGAGGAACGAGGTCATGCCTCCAAGCACGGAGGAAGGGATGGCGACGAGCGATGCGGCGAATTTGGCAAAGATGCCCATAATGATGAGGAAGAAGCAACTAGACAACTGTTAGCCGGGAGGTTCTTGAGAACTGGAATCAGAAAATATACCAGCAGTAGCCGGCGCTGCGGTTAGCGCAGCGGGTGAGAGCGATGACTCCGTTGTTTTGAGCAAACTTTCTTCAGTCAGTTTCAAGTTGTTCAGAGCTGGGCAGACTCCTTACGGTTGTCATAGGTGTGATGGTCATTAGGGCCGCAAGAACGCCGTTGATACCATCCGCGAGGACGCCACCCTGGATACGGGACTCGAAAAGACGGCCCTCAACCTCAAGGCGAGAGACATCACAAGTAGCAGTAATGTCACCAATGGCCTCGGTGGCACAGATGATATAGACAGCTAACAAAGGCCTGTCGATATGTTTAGCTTCGGTTTTCACATGCTCGCTTATGACTCGGAGTTGGAGGCTTACAAGATGAGCGGCCCGTAAAGGGTGAGTTTAAAGGTGTGCACCCAGATGAAAGAGGCAGCAGGGGCACTATCGATTCCGGAGCGGTCAAAGTAACCAGTCGCAGCGGCGATGATGCATCCTAGGAGCAGGTCAGCAACAGAGCATGTGGGCATGGCGAAAGACGCAGGATTGCTACTCACCAACGAGGAGACCAATAACAACGGATGTTGACTTCATGATGGGCGCGCCAAATCGCTCGCAGAGAATGATGGTCACGAAGACGGAGAAACCCAAGCCCAAGTACTCGGCGGAGCCCCAAGGGAGGGCATGAGGCGCGGAGATGTTGGGGCACCGGGCGAAGAAGTCAGAAGTCGGGTTGGCACAAGGACCGGAGCCACCCATCCAGTTCTGGAAACCGGTCTCGATCAAGTGGATGCCGATGAGCATGACTGAGCACACGTCAGACGCCGACTCTCACGGGTTTTCACGTTTCGGGGGCTTACCTGTCGGGCCAGTCACGATGGGCGGGAAGATGCGAAGCATCACCTTTGGGGGCATAAAGGAGATGGCAATTTCAATCAGAGCGCAAAGGGCACTGGAGCCGATGATGGCTTCACTCTGTCAGTTGAACAAGTAATGCTTAAAGGTTCAAGGGTAAGACTCACCGCCGTATCCGTCAGGGCACGGGAGCTTGTTTCCCTCCCCATCCATCGGACAGAATCCGTTGGCATACATTTGAGAGAGGGCTCCCTGAGCGACCGGGATAATGGCAAAGGAGATACCGACCACAGAGATCAAGCCAGTTCCGATATAATAGCTACATGGAGATGTAAGTTGGAATGTCTCACAGCAGGTGTGCATTTCTTCTTCTTCTTACGGAGTCTTCAGAATGTGGAATCTGGTGATTTGGATCATGGACAACAAGCCGGAGACAATCAAAGCTGTGGAAACAAGATATTGTTGCATCTCCCCAGTGAGATTAGCACCTGCAGCGCCGCTCAGCAGGATAGGCGGCGTGATGATGCCAGCCAACATGGCAAGGGCGTGCTGGAATCCTAGCAACAGGGCCAAGAGCGTAGGCATCCGGTCGTTCAAGCCAAAGAAGGGAGCGGCTTTGCGACTCTTCCTCATAAACGGCAAGTTCGGGGTGAAGAGGAAAGCATAGTCGTAGTCGCCAATCAGGCCGTCCTTGGTGAAGAATCTGTTCTTGGTGCTGCGAAGGCGGTCTCCCATTGTCCGCTTGGGAGCTGTCCCAGGGACGATTTGGCTTGGGCCCTGATCTTCATCCATCATGTCGCCGACGTTTTGCGTCGTGCAATCGGCACTTGGTGCTAGCGGTGACTGCAATTGACCAAGACCACGTCGGTTTTGCGATTAGAAGAGGAGTCAGACTTGTCGACGATGCAGACAAGACAAGACAAGACAAGGTAAGGCGAAAGAATTTGACCCGACGGTATCCACGGAATCACCATCCAGAGGCAGGGTTGTGGATCTCTCTTTATATATCAATCTGACTCGATCATTGTTTGCATGGGTGAGATCTTCTTAGTTGATGGTATCGAGCAATTAGCTTCAGCCGCTATCAGTGGGATAAGCGGCTCGGAACGATGTGAATGGCTAGCGATAGTAGGAAAAAAAATGTGTATCCCCAGAGGAGCGGGCCCGGTTCTGGAGTAGGGTGCCACGGGTGTGTAGCTGCGTAGCTGAGAGACTTGAGAGGGTGCCGTGTCCGGCCGGGGTACCGGGCGAGCAGAAGATTGATGGTCGAGTCCAGGAATCCAGAGTAGCACCGGCTGTTTCCAGACACGGGCCTGGAATACCTGAGATGGATGGGGGTTTGGAGGGAGAGAACGTGGGTTGCCGGTAACAAGGGGTGACGAGAGAGAAAGAGAGTCTGAAGATACATGTTTCCGCTACTGAACTCACAGCTCGTCATCATGTAGATGACCTGTCAAGTCTTGAGAAGCAGAGAGAGCAAACAACTAGGTAGAACGCAACTTGGTATCTTGCAAGTGACATGTTCCATCATGCCTGATACAGCGACCCAACAGCAGCAATTGCGCTACTGCAAAGTATCCGGAACCAACGTCGACAACTTCTTTGGGGGGTGTGTGGGAGGGCCTGAGTGTGGGGGAACTCCCCGGCATCGCTCCCGCGTGGCACACCAGGAGAATCCCGCCTTCATCCTCTGAGTGCTCGTTCGGGCACGTCCTACATGGGCCCGGGGAGATCAAGCTACAGAGTAATAGAGAGATGCGGCGAGCTGCGAAGTTCGAAGTGCGACATGCGGCACCAGGGAGCGGGATGATGGATCAACTGCCAGCGGCTCGCCTTGTGTGATCTCCGCGGGGGTCCCGACTCTCAGGGCTCTCAGCATAGTTTGTCTTGTCAGTGTCTCATTCATTATCCAATTTTCTCGGCGGCCGATGAACTCTGTAGGTTCCATCCTGCCGCGAACTTCCCCGACGTAATGCCATGACCGCTGCTTGCCGCCGGCCAGATCGAGTTCACGTTTCTAGATTCATCCTTCTTGGCTCCAAACGGTGGCGGAACAAACACGATCGTGTGGTGCTGTAGAGAAATGCATCATGCCATTGAGAAATTGGCAACTTGGGTGTACCTTGATAACAGTCGTTCGTGGGTAAAGTTGGAGATGGTTCGTGCGCGAATAATGGCCTCCCCCCTGGTTTATGGATAGTATCAACTCAACACCTTTGACTCTGACTCTTCAACACGTCAAGAAGCACACGATGATGCTTTGCCTCAGCTTCAGATACATCGTCTGATGCCTCTTACCCGGGCTTGACCACTGCCCACCGAAAGGTTGTGGGCAGACTTTCTTTTACGCGACACACCTTCTAACGGATGCCAATCCAGAGCCCCCCAAAGAGCCCCAAAGAAGCAAACCAACTGCTTAGATCCGGACTGGCGTGAAGATAAGAGCTGACCAGGCCACCCAGGCACCCCAGAGAAGCGCACACCAAGTCTCCGTAGAGATAAGAAAGCACCCCAATCGAGTCAAGGAGGGAATCCCGGGAGATAGAGGCGTCGACACCCACGACACAGCGCCTATCTCATTGGCTTAGTCTGCTGCCGAGACTCGGAGATGCAGCTCTTCGGCACGGCTGGGCGGGATGAAGCATTGCAATAAACGCGTCGCTCTCTGCTAGAAACAGCAAAGACACCAGAGAGCTTTTGTCTGCCATCGGCGGGCTCCGACAGCAAGGGAGAGCCCCCATAAAGGGTCTCGCCGAAGAGACCTCAGGAAGCTCACCAGTCAGTCTGAGGTTATCTCCGGTTCGGAAAGCTGAAGCAGCAGTAATTCCCGGCTCTCCTGATCCATGATCTACCCGACTTTACCTAACTGTCGCCTTCGATAACAAAAAGCCTAATTTAGTTTGGTTTATTCAAGCAAGTTGAAGGGATAATTAGCTATCAAAGTGGTTCAGACATCTGACTAGAAAGAGGCCATTCTTGCAAACGCGCGTGGAGTCATTCAATACTAGTTGTTGACGAAAAGTAGTGATGGTCTCCTGGCTCACGAAAGCCTGAGCACGTCCTCCTCCTGATCATCTCCTCAAGATACAGCGCCATGAGGTGCCCTCTGTCTTGTTTTCTCTCTATGACTTGGCGAACATTCTCTTCCAGATCCCCCTAGTCTTATCTTTCGACTAGAAACACGCGGGCACATCGTTCGCTTCATCATCGCCGCCGACGCCGTAACACCAAAGAACGAGATCGCGATCCAAAGATGCCGCGATAAAAACTGCTCAACTTAGGCACCTCCTCAACCCAGTCGCACATGCACAGCTCAACCGCATTATCCTTTGATCGAAATTTCTTCCAGCAGCTGTCATCGATAGTCGTCTCTCATCCCACGAACCACGTCCTGCTGCGATTCGAATCGCACCCGGTGATATTCGTTCAACTGCTGCCGGCCAGATTCCCGGACAAACCCCAGCAGCCCCTTGTGTTTATCCTTGAGACACTTGCTCAGTTCGGCTTCTGTTTTCGCGCTGCACTGGCATATACTCGGTGTGCCTCCAAACTTTGCCCTATCTTGGGAAGTCGGGAACATGATGCTGATGCGTCGGACGTCCTTCCAGACAGCAGCAGCATAGTCCTTCTCCCCTCGCCGCCCCAGTGCCAACTTAGCCAGATTCCAGTCCATGTCGTCGTCTCGGCTTTCATATCTTCGCACTGATAGCTCGGTGTTGCCTCGGTTCTGCTCAATGGCAGCAATCTGGCACGACGATCCGTCTCTTCCTGACCGGCGGCAGTTGCACCGGTCTGGGTTGACATCGGTGTCTTCGTCAATATCTATGGTTACCAATGCTCGTTTTCCTGTCTGCATGTTCTGCGTGAACAGTACCAGCATTGGCTTGGGAGGGCGCCTGTGGACAGTTCCAGTCGTGTGCCCCCCTATCGTTACAGTCACGGTGTGCGCGTCGCTTCCACTAGAACTATTGTTCGACGGTGATGTCGCCGCTGAGTAGTTGCTTGAAACGCTGAAGGTCCGGTCCGGTCGGCTGTAGGCTGTTGATACGGATGGTGTTCTTGACTGCCATGAACCCGGAAGCAGGGATGAAGACCGAGGGCTCGCAGGTGATGTCGATAACGTCGCCTGCCGATTAGCATTGGGTGGCGATGCTGTTGTTGTTTGTGTGCTACCCGATCCTACTGGCCGTCTCGGTATCATCATGGGAGACCGAACTCCCAACGGGCCGGTGATTGATGGCGGTGATGGCATCGAACGACTCCGTGATGCGCCTACGGCCGGTGGACCGCTATTACCCCACATAGACACAGTCTCGGTAGGACTGGTGGTGAATGGGTTTGCGGTGTTCCATACGCTGCGGAGGGTACTCTGTCTTGATGCTGTGCTAGATGGCGAAAACACCCCTGACTGGGATGGTGACGTGCTCTGCTCGAGCGTCGCCTCGTTATTCGTAACAAGCTGTCCATCGAGTTGCTTTGGAACCCACAACTGTACACATGCTCCCTCGACAATCGGATCTCCTCTCCCAGACACAACAAAGCTAACCATAGCCTTGTATCTATCGGTGTTGTTAGCTGTTGGCGTCCTTTGGTGTGTGGGTCTGTGATGCTTACTGGCTATAACTATCAAACGCCTTGAAACCAGTCACAGCTTGTTGGAACTTGGCAGCATCTTTCAACTGCGTAAAAGCCAGCTTGGCAATCCGTTCATCCTTGCGCAAGATCATGTCCCATGCGCCGAAAGAGTTAGATGGCACTGCATAAAGAGGATTTAGTATGACAGTCGTGATGTCGAAATCGATGGTCTCGGCTATTCATTGTTAACAACTCGACGATGCCATCTGGCTGCAGTATCCATACCTTGACGACGTGCAGTCCTGCTCGACACCCCTAGTTCAACGCCAGATATGTTTATCCTGAAGCGTTTGCCATCGGCGCCAATTCGGCGAAGCAGCTGAAGCTTCCTCTCAACGTTGGAAGTGGCGCCCTGTAATGGTCTGACGTAAAACTAATATTAGTTACCGCCCGCATTGTGTCAAGGCCTGGTCTTAGGACAGAACTTACGCATCCATGACCTCCTCCATGAGAGCATCCCTCGTCACCACGTCCACGAGCTGAGGAAGCTCTTTTTCAGGCCATATGTCAAACATCTCAGGTATTAAACCTGCTAGACTTGGTGGCATGAGCTCTTGCTTAAATCGATCGCATTGCGACGCAAGACCCTAGCACATGTCAGTACTATTCAAGCTAGCATGAGATTAAAGGCTCGACTTACGTCTTCCAGCTCCTGGATGTAGGAGGGCCAATGGGATAAGGTCCGGCCCTGCTGAGTGAGTTCGTTCGAACGACGAATCCGTCTCATCAGCCAGACACACTTCAAAAGGCTGATATATTGCCCCAACTCGGGAACCTTATTCTCCACCAGGATACCGGCAGTAAACCCGATGGTGGACTTGTGGTAATGAATAACGAACGCATCTGCAATCTCCTGCAGACTTGGTTCGAAAGCGTCATCCGGTCTGTCAGCCGCCCACGATCGCAGAAATCCATCCTCGATATCTGGAGGTACATCAAAGTGAAAAGATTCCCGGTGAACCTGTTGAGCGAGGGCCTGTTCCATATCAGGCACGAGAACTCCCATGAAGCGACGTAAGTCAAGGTGCATAGCATTCATACGACCGGCGAGGTCTTCATGGATCCGACAAAGAAGGTCACTGGCTCTGTTAGTGCTCTGAGACGGATGGGATCAGGTAGAACTGACATTTCAAAAGGCTTCAGCACATGAAGAACCTTGGAATTGTGTAAGGCTATGCGCGCTCGCAGACGATCTGCCGCCGGCGCCACGAGAACATTCCATTCGATATTTCTCAGTGGGCCGCTGCTGAGGCGGTAGCGATGGTTGTTCTCTATCAGAGTGCAGCATTCTGTCAAGGTCTCGTGATAGTCGCCTATGATCTCGTTGAGTGACGGTCGATCCCAGCGCAATGGCTCAAGCTTGGATGCCGTTTCCTGATGAAATGACTGGCCGGCTTTGTCTACTACGCGGCCGAGAATGTCGAGGTTCTCGGCCAATCCCCTAACATCGCGACCAAACTCTGCGTATTGTCGGGCTGCGATCACCGTAAGTCAGTGCTGACTTCTGGATTTATAGGTTTTTTTGAGTTGAGCTATGGCTTGTGTTTCAAGGGCGCCAGCAGTCTCCAGAGAAATGTCAGAAACATAAGGTATTTTCAAACAGAGCTCTACATGTTGTGGATTGCATGGCGATGAGAGTGGCAGGCCTAGAAAGTGATTTTCATTGCGCCGAGGAACTCACTGGCGTTGAAGTCATTATCCCAACCGAATTTGTACACGTCCCACGCGAGCTTGCTGAAGTTGATGACATCTCCCAGCTGGATTGGCCCTGCCATTGGGTGTAACGAGGCAAGGGGCAGGTAGTTCTTCTGTGAAATGCGCCTTATAAGATGATTGGCATTGAAAGGGCGATGGTGTCAATACGTCCGAGGAAGACGACTAATGGAAATTCCCCAAACCAGGCTTCACCAAGAGGGCTGAGATGCGAAGCAGATGAGGGGAACGAAGGCAGATTTGAAGTAAAGCCTAATCGCAGGGTGGGAGCACACGACAGAGTAACCTAAGACGCCACCGAGCTGCAGACATGTCACAGAGATGAAAGCGAGCCGCCCCAAGGAACGCAGGGGTGGGCAGTAGGACAAGGAACGAGCATATGGAATAAGCACAAGTGGAAGCAGCGACAACCCCCAGCTGGACAGCGAAGGAGGCACGGGAGGCGGGCGTGGAAGAAGATAGTGAGGCTAGTAGCGACGACATGCCGAGTCTGTGTTCGCCGGCCCAGACAGCTCTACCTAAATTGACACCGAGAGAAAGAAAGGATGGTGTGGGCATCCATGCAGGCAGCAGGGGAGAATGACCTCCTCTGCCCTGCTCGTGTGGCTCTCTCAACTGGTCTTGCTTGGCCTCCAAGTTGGCTGTCTCTCGTCCTTGAAGTGTGACTGCGCGCGTCGACCGTGGCAGTATCGAGCACAAACTTGGGTTGTCGCCTCCTAGCAGCCCTATCTACCTAATCAAGCGATAGCAGCTCGAGTCAAATCCACCCCCTAGTGAGCGAAAGAGACTCTCGGATGGCCTGGAAGCGATGTACGTCTCACCTCCTACGCATCCATTACGAGCAAGCCCAACCTATTCTCGTGCGCGGATTTTCTCCGCACATGGAAACCGGGGTCTTATTCAGAAAGGGAGGGGAAGAAAAGGCTGTCACGCGGTCTCAGTTACCCGAGACACCCCTACGATGATATCCAATCCCGTCAATCTGGGCTGGACCCTCAGCTGCTGGGAGATATGCATGTCTGCGGCGGAAGAGGAAGATTGCGAGATAAGCTATTGAACTGTGCGGCTGTGCCACTCACATCTCGAAGTAATTGGGATGAACTAATCGGACAGAACCTTATCCTTGATAAAGTCATCAACCCCGCAAACTTGGGGGTCTTCACAGTCGTCTGCTCCCCTCTTGGTGATGAACCAGTTATTCGGTTCCGGACACTCTTGATTACTCTGGGCATGACAGCAAGTAGAGTGCAATGAGACATTCCTGTATCCGGGCTTGGTCACTGGTCATGCCCAGAGTAAAACGGAAGCAACCTGAACTTGCTGAGTGAGCATCAGTCAGGCCAGTATTTGGCTATGCTCAAGGGAATTTCGGGCGGGGCTTTTGAGTGAATACGCTTATATACCCTTGACTGAGAACGATGATCGACACTCAGCCCATACGTGCAATGCATGTGGCGGTGGCAGTGAGCTAGGCATACAGATTGATGGCTTCGAGGTAGGCTTGGTAGGATAACTTCCCGACGTGCCAACCTCGGTGTAAGACTCAGAAGGGGGTGTCACCTTGAGTTTTCCCGGGACACTTCCCATTCGTGCTCGCTTCCCTAGACCTATCAACGCTCGAATACTGAGACTAAATCAACCACTAGATCGGACATAACTTGGCAGCTGTGTAGTCGCCAGAGTCTTGGTAATAAGGTAACACGTTGTTGAGACCCCATGTGTCTAAGTTGCCAAGATGGGCGCAAAGGAAGACCCCAGGCATGCCTTGCGAGGCATATTTCTGGACGAGGCTGTCGTGGCACGAGTGACTCGACCAGCCGTCGTCCCAGGTAGTGGCTGCCTCGGCATGCATGCGAGCCGCCATCAACCCATGGCCAAGTCTGCCTGTTTGTCTTTCTGTGGTGCGCGCCCCAGCTGCGTGCTGTTTCTAGATTACGCCCGACATGCATGCCAGCAGCTCGTCACACACACGCACCTACGAGCCGAGAGAAGTGTGCCATACATAATGTGAAGACACCCATGGCGGGCCTACCTGTCATGTATCTTGTGAAAGCGAGAGATACGGACATTGCGTTGATCTCCTACTGCGGAGCGACCGCAAGGCTCGGACTCGAAACTTGCATTCTTTTCAAATCAACACGTTTTCGAAGATGAACGACTTTCCCAGCTCCATTGGTTTCTACCAAGAGCCACGGGGTGCTGAAGAGGCTTCAGTTCACAGTGATATTGACGACGTGATTGACCCTATCAGTGACGGCAATGGCATCGTCACGCATGCTCCAAAGGAGGGCTTCCGACTAGGATACTTCGACGTAGCCTGTCTAGTCATCAACCGTATGATTGGTAAGTAGTTTGAATCTTTACCTGTGGATGTAAGGGTTTCTCAATACCGATATGATTGATTCGCTCCGGCCCTTGGCCCTCTCAAGCGGCGCATGTGTTGATATTTTTGTACGTGTGGGAAATTCTGGTCGCTGTGCTTCCCCCTTTTCCCTCATTACTTTTACGGTTTCATGTCTTCATTACCAGAAACACCATGAAGAGGTAATCATTGTAAACAACAACTCATCTTCAACTTCCCTTCCAGAGCAATGGATCGCTAAATTAGATGGTTAATCTAGGAACTGGTATCTTCATGTCCCCGCAAAGAGTAATGCGAGGCACACGAAGTGTTGGTGCAACGCTACTCTTCTGGTTGGCCGGGATAATCTATTGTCTTTGCGGAACCCATGTGTACATTGAGTATGGCTTGAACGTGCCCAGATATTTGATCAATGGGCATGATCACAGCGTTCCGCGAAGCGGTGGTGACCTCGTTTACCTACAATACGTTTTCCGCAAGCCAGCCTACCGGAAGAACACTTTGCTCTTGTCGACTTGTATATTTGGCATCAGCTTTATCATTCTGGGTAACATGGCGGGCAACAGCATTCACTTTGCCATGCGACTTCTCGAAGCCGCCGGCATATCGGAACCAGGAAACGGCTCTGTTCGCGGCATCGCCCTTGCCGTAGCTACATTCTCTTGTGGAATTCATGCTTTCTCTAGACGCGGGGGAATCTTGCTCAACAACATCCTTGCAGTCGTCAAAATCATGATCATGCTTCTCATCATTGTAGCAACGATTGTCGTTGGCGCAGGAGGATTTCCAGGTGCCAAGAACGTCTTTGGTGAAAACACTTCACCCAAGAATTCTTTCAAAAACGCGTCAAACGACGCCAACAGCTACGCTCAAGCGTTTCTCGCCATTATATTCAGCTTCTCCGGCTTCGAGCAACCCAACTATGTCCTTGGGGAGATTAGTAGGCCGAAGAAAAAGTTTCCTATCGCCATGGGTGCCGGTGTTGGCACCGTTGTGACGCTTTACCTTGCGGTGAATATTTGCTATGTGAGTTCCTTTGCTTGGCTCTTGGCTCCGTCCTACAGTCGGGACCGTATGCGGGGAAGAAGGTTTTGCTGACTTCGAGATAGATGGTCGTTGTCCCAAAAGAGGACCAAATCAACGAAAATGTTGCACAAAAGTTCTTCGAACTAACATTTGGGACACTTGGCTCAGCTAGCGATACCGGGGCCCGGATCTTCAACGCCTTCCTTGCCATCTCATCTTTGGGTAACATCATCGTCATGGTCAGTCAATTGTCTCCCTGGGCCTCCACGCCATGTACGTCCGCTAATATGACGTTTTCACAGACATACACAGCCGCCAGAGTTAAACAGGAGATTGCGAAAGAAGTGAGTGAAGCCTTGATATTGGATGTACGAGAGGGGCCAAAACTTACACCGACCAGGGAATGCTTCCGTGGCCCAAGTTCTTTGCACAAAACACGGATATGAGTATCGGCCGTGTGCTGCGCTGGTTCCAGAGGAAGGGATGGTTCTCATCGATTCTTCGACTGAAGTGGCTTTCGCCAGAGCATCACAGCGAGAAGACCCCCGTCGGAGCCTTGCTCCTCCATTTCGTCAGCTGCACTATCCTCATATTCGCGACCTACAATATGAGACCGAAAGATGCCTACACACTGCTTACATCCCTGAGCGCCTATGTCATCAATGCCTTCATCGGGACATTCCTGGGGCTGGGCATTCTCATCTTGCGGTTCCGCGGACCTCCGACTACCCTCAGCGACGACGACGCTTCGACATTTGGGAAAGACCCGCCGCCGTTGCCGCGTACTTGGGCCGAGATGACTGGAAAGCGTTTCCGTCCCTTTCTGTCCGTCTTTTGCGCATTCGTATACATGTGCGGTGGGCTTTACCCGGTGATCACCAACTGGGTTCCTCCTTCAAAGTACCTATCCACGCAGCTAAATCCCTGGTGGGTGATTCCCACGGTCTCATGGATCATCATCGGTCTAGGTGTTGCTTGGTTCATCGGCTTCGTTCTTGTCGCTCGTTATATCGAGAGGAAGGACCATAGAGTATTTGTGGTGGAGAAGAAGCCAGAATTCGAGCAGGCAGATAGAAGCGGCCGGGGCTCTACGGAACTTGGGCCCGATCTCATACAGGTCCACGAGACTGTCTATCTTAGCTGGGTTGGGAGGGAAGCGCTTCGTGCCCGGCGTCCGGTGTTTGACGACTCCAGACAAACTAATGCCGACATGAGGGAAACACCAGGGTCCCCTTTCGCCGGTACTGACTTTGCTGCATTCATGCAGCAATCACCAGGAAGAGAAGGGCATTGGTGATGGCGTAGAAAGGGTGGTGTTTGGTATCCTGGCCTTGGAGCAAGACTGAGGGAGAAAAGAGAACGGAGGTTTATTGGGTTCATACTAATGATAGACGGGATGTCTATGTAGCATCAATTTACCCAGGTCCTTTGATTAATGATCGTTGTGTCTACGCTTTGAAATTGCAAGCAGTGACTCTATATTGTAGCAGGCCTTCATCTACAAATAGCTTCGCGCCAGCTCCTCTAGACTCTGTTGCTTCTCGGAGAAGATATTGATGGCCTGGATAAGCTTCTCCTCATACCTGCCGTTGCCGCTACGAGTAAAAGCGAAACGCCACTCGCTCTCGTCTATCAAGGCAGCCTGAAAGCCCTTGATCCAGCGCTCGTCTGGCCCGTCCGCGAAATAGCCACCGACCTTCTCCGTCCAAGTTGAGGACGGCGCTGCCGCAAGAGCTCGGAGGAGCGGCGGCGAGACGGTGACGTGCTGGATGCCGGCCAGCTGCATCACCTCAGGAACGGTGGTCAGACTAGCTGCCAGGACCTGGGTCTTGGCCTTTGTCTCAATATAGTAAGCCTGCGCCTGTCTGCAGAAGTTGAAAGCCTTGTTCTCGTCTACATAACTAAGGGCGCCCAAAGGGTCAGTCATTCGACCCTGCTCAGGTCGCCGTGTCTAAGGCCGTATTTGAGATGGTTCTTACCCAGGGACAAAGTGAACTTTCAGTTCGTTCACATACGGCGCAATGTAGGTGCAGCCGGCATGAGCAGCCAGGGCCGCTTGCTCCATGCAAAACATGGTCGTCGCCAATGTTGAAATTCCCTTATTCTCGAGGATTCTGCAAGCAGCAATGCCCTCGTAGGTGGACGGAATCTTAATACAGACGCGGTTCACGTCGAAGGTGGGCTCCAACTTCTTGAAGGTCTCGACGATTCCTATGAAGCAGGGCAGCGCGATTAGCTTTGATCGTTGCAGGCCCTATATGGCAACATACTCTCGGCATTCTTGACCGTTTTCTCGACCGAATAGGACCAGTCTGTGTTGGTCTGGATGTGGAAATATCCTGTCAAATACGGGATGAACTTGAGTGATAGTCTGACCATCTACAAATGTGTCAGTGATGGTGGATGCTGTTGTCAAGAGCTTCGCCGAGTCAAGGTACCATGATCTCAACTGCGAGAAGAATCGGGTCAATGTCTGGCCAGGCCGCGTGGGCCCAGCCCTGAGCATCCTGTACGGAGTCCCGGATGAGTTGCTCGTGGTACAGCTTGCCATCTGCGGTGGTTTTGGTGAGCTCGCCGTAGGCGATTGCCTGGTTGGAGGTGTGATCGACAAAGGGACCCAACTCTTTGGCAACTAAAGCAGGGTCAGAACCGAGCACGTTGGGGTGTCATGATGGAAGGTTCTTGCCTTCAACGTCAAGAGTATCACAGTCGACTCGGCTCACGGACCTCAGCGTGTCTAACAGGGAGTTAGATTGTGCCATGACGGGTGGTAATAGCTGTGTGTGGGCAATATCAATGCAAGGCAATGTTCGGCGGTAATGCAGAGGCAGCAAATCGGAAGAAGCTATCAAAGCTAGAAGAGAATTTAGGATGCCGACTTGATTTAACACGAGGCAGCCAGCTGGCTTGAAAGGATGTGTTCCCAAAGAGACGAAGTGTTGAGAAGGAATCGTAGGGGAAGCAGAAGGTGTGTTGAGGATTTATTCAGTCACGGCGAGATCTCTCTTCTCCCGCCGGCTTCAGCTACGGACGGGGACCACTTGCGTTGCCGGCTAGAACACGCGGAAGAGTGCCTCGAGGTGGGAGGGTCTAGGTATTGGTCTCTCTTAGCTAACGTAAGGGGAGTTCGGAGGAAGACCGGACACCCCGCATTGCTCTCCCCACGGTGTTGCGGGAGTGAGGAGCTTTAGTATGGTCCACGAAGCTCGAACCCCGAACAAGGGGCCGGGGCCAGTGTACATGCCACTAGAAGAGATCGTGAGGAAGCGTTCCGTATACCGCTCCTGATCTCATGATACGGGGAAGCGCAAGCGGGCCTAAAACACGTCTCCCTGCGTAAACCGGAAGGGAAACGTACCAAGCAGAGGAGTGTGTCACTGTCAAGTACCTAGGGTAACTAACTAACTACCTTAATTATTCCCAGCTTGACGATGTAAGAGGGGAAACGTGGGGTTCCCCACAAGGTTTCCGCGAGTCGTCTGCGTTGCTGCTGTCTGCATCTAGGTACTGTGCAGACAAAATAGCTTGCAGGTGTTGCTTTAGGAAACCCGAAGCGCCATGTGGGAAGACATTAGCTACACCTCGACAGCTTACTGTCACCATAGGAGACTGGCTACAATCATTTGTTGATCCTCATATTCTATACGTCAAGTCATTCCAATATTCGCTGCGATCCTTTACACTGTCGCATGGAGCGTTCACGGATCTACACGCATATAAGAAGCAACCTTTACGAATGACTCGATTGTTACACTATTGTACAGCCTGGCAAAGTCTCTTTGCCCCCGACTGTCCTTGGCAGAATGGCAGTCGACTAGCTCTACGCCGCCCCCATTCTATTCTCTAAACACCGTTATGGTCTCAAACCCAGAGTCACAAATACTGGTGGTTCGCTTGCGAGAATGGCTACTCCTCGTCATCTTCCTCCTCATTGTCCGTGAAGTATTCAAACTCTCGTGGGACGTCCGCCTCTTCGTCTCCCTCGCCATCCTCGTCCACTGCCGTGAGCACTCCTGCTGCTGCAGCCGCCCCTCCCTCATCAGTCGCGCCTACGAGGTCACCTCTTCTTTGCCGACCCAGGAGCTCGCTAAGCTCATTCAGCGAGCGAAGATCGCCACCAGCACCTGCTCTGAGGGCCTGCGAGATTATGTTCTGCTGTTGGCGCGGCGTCAAGCCCGCAGATGATCCGCCTGCGTTGCTTTGGCCGGCCACTGGGGCCTTTTCTGTCGTCACCTTCTTCAACTTCTCTTCGATGAGCGTCTTCTCCTCGTCAGGCTGCGTGTCCTGTAGAAGCAGAGGTCCTCCGGTAGGCTAACGAGAGTTAGTAAAATACTTTGCAGTCGAGGGGTTTAGAACTGCTCTACCTTCTTGACCGGCTTGTAACGTCCGGCGGGGAAGCTGATGAACTTGAGCTGACCCGGAAGCACGCGCGACAGGTTCTCCATGTCGTAACCGACCTTCTCCTTCTCTGCCTTCTTCTTGGTATCGACGGGAGCAACAGATGCCTCCTTCTCTCCACCGTCACCATCCTTCTTTTCCTTGGTCTCTTCCTTCTTTTCGTCCACGTCCATCTTGTCGGACACCGTTGGCTTGGCAGAGTCAATGTCCATGCTCTCACGACGCTGAGCACGCTCCTTCTTCTGAGCTCTGCGCTTGGCCTGGGCAGTTGTCGACAGAACGGCTGTGGCGACCATGGTAGGGCCCTCCTCAGCCTTGACCTCTTGCTCCGGCGGGTAATCGAAGAGGCTGGGACGGGTGGCGCAATGGAACTTGAAGTTGGGAATCTCGAGTTCGTGGTCGAGACCGATGATGGAGGTGGGTGAGAAAGCGAGCGAAAGGAAGTGGGTGAACGGGAACCAGTACCAGTACTGGGTGAAGACGGCCATACCAACGATGCCGGCCATGTTGAGGTTCCCAGTCTGGGTCTGGAGGCCAATCGTACAGTTGCGACCACCCGCATCAATAATACCCAGCGCAAGCGACGCGCCGAACTTGGTCATGGCGTCCTCATGGCGATCGCCGACAACCTTCTTCAGAGTCTTGCGAATGGAAGCGACCTTGGGATTCATGACCTCGTTCTGCTGAATCATGATCATGGCCAGAGAGATGAGCGCACCCTGACGGACAAAGTCGGTGGGATCCTTCATCATAGGCTCGAGCAAGTCGATGGCCTCGTCCAGGCCGGTGCCAGCACAAGAAATGCCCAGCGCCATGGCAGATCCGTAACGCACGTGAGGGTTGTACGACTCGGAGAGCAACTCGACCATGCGAGGGACGCTGCCGGGCTTACGGAAGAGAATGAAGCCCAAGCTCATGACGGCGACACGGCGTACATCATCGTTGACGTCACTAACGGCAGTATGAAGCAGCTTGCGAATAGCCTTGTTGCTGCCAGTACCGCAGTAGGCGAGAGCAACAGTCATAATACCGCCATATCTTAAGGTAGGATCAGGATCGTTGAGTAGGCCCTCTATCATGGCGTCGGCACCTTCTTGGCGGCCAAACATGATCAACGCCATGCCAATAGCGAGACCACGAACAATCTTCTCGTGTGTCGTCTCGTGGGCGTAGGTAATCATGTCTTCCAAGGCTCGCACGTTGCCAGTGCCGAGCATAATGAGACCCATGGCAAGGCCAACGGCCTCGCCGTTGAGAGCAGAGTCGGTGAAAAGAACCGTGCGCAAGTTGTCGAAAATCTCCTCAGAGCCAGTTGCCATGCCTGCAATACCCAGACCCAAGGCACCACCGTGCTGAATAACTTCCTCCTCGGCGGATGTGAACTGGGTCTTGAGGTAGTCAAGAGCGTCGGCGCCGTGGTTGGCGTGAATCAGACCGTAGGCGTAGAGAGCACCACCTTGGCTAAAAATGGAGCCGCTGCTCAAGCCGCTCTGGCGAGGGAGGTAGGGCTCGAGAAGCTTGCGGGATTGCGTAAGGTTGCCGCGGTGGATGACACCCAAAGCCGCAGTCGCGGTGAACTTGGACCAGTTGACAGCCTTGCCAAGCCATTCGAGGTTGTCGCGGAAGAACTTGTCGTTGGTGGTGCCCTGGTTCATGAAAGCGTTGCAGAAGGTGACGGCTGTGTGGAAGATGGAGTTGCGACCCTCCAAGCTATCACGGACCTTGTTCAGAATGCTCAGGTCGGTGCGGTTGTTGCGGTAAAGGAATTCGAGGTTCAGCTGAATGGTCTTGCTGCCGTCCAAAATTGACCGAATGTTTTTGTAAACCTTGGAAAGCTCCTCCGACAGCTCCTCCTCTGAGGACTCTTGGTTCTCGATCAATGGCTCTTGCTCAGTGGCGTCGCTCTCTGCAGCCTTCACAGGCTCTCCTGACGGCAGCGAGCTGATGATCTTGCCCAAAAACTCCTGAGTGCCATTGTCGTACAAGTCAAAAGCGATCTGGTAGGCACTGGCGATCGAATTCCGGTCGCCGCTCGTGATGAGCTGCTTCAGCATGCGCGAGGCCTCCTCGTTGGAGCTCAGGTAAACAACACACTTGGCGATGGCGAAGTAGTCTGGGTTCGGAATGTCGTTAAGAAGATCGAGGATCAAACGCAGAATCTCAGTGCGGAAGCTTCGCTCCTGAACAACATCCATGCAGATGCCCAATGCATACTCCATGAGCTCCTCGGCGGGGCCTTGGCCATCCGACGACTTGGACTTTGAATGCTTCTCGTCATCGGCGGCGCGCTTGATGACTCGGCGCAGAACCTCCAAGTTCTTGGCTTCGACGGCAATACCAATGACCTGGCGATATCTGCCATCCTTAAGGCAAGCCTCGAACAGACGCTCGATAATACGTTGCAGAGCAGTCTGAGTCGCCTGATCATTGATTGGGGCGATGGATGCGGAGCGGCCTTCCTTGACGGGTTGAAATGTGGGATCGAGGATGGTGTTGTCGGTCGAAACTCGGGAGAGGAGAGACTTGGAGGGGAGGGTCGTCTGGGAGAAGGGAGTCGTAGGGGAGATCAAGGCAGACCCATCAGCAGCACCGCTAGCGAACGTAGTAGCCAGAGCGGGAAGTGAGGTATCGTTTTGGGGTGACTCGGGAGCAGTGTGCTTTGCGGAAGAGGCAGCAATGTACTGGTCGATGCACTTTGAAATGATGGTATCCTCGAATTCGCCGGGAGCGTCAAGCTTAAAGAGGTCGCCAGCGGCGAGAGCAAATGTCATACTCTCATTATAGGCCTGGAGGTGGTAGTAGACCTTTGCGAGAACGAGGGCGGCGAGCTGTCGTTGAGGGAAGGAGTCGTCTTCGTAGAGAGCCTCACTGTATCGAGGTGATTAGCTGGATCGAAACAAGGCGAGTAGACGGAGCGTGGCGAGGAAAGGAATCGAGCTCACATTTGACTCAGGGCACCAGCGACCTCGGTCCAGACAGTGTCGATGTCATCATTGAGAGTCTGGAGGGCGAAGACCTTGAGATCATGCTCCTCGTCGGCTAGGAAGCCCAGGACTCCGGTAGCTGAGACCAGGCCAGGCATTGCGAGAGGTGGCCTGGAAGACGGAGCTGAAGAGAGCTGCGGGGTACGATGATGGACGACAGAGATGGGTTCGAATAAAGTGCGGCCGGAATGGATAGGATGGTATCGCACGGAGCGGTTTGGTGGGATGGAATTGGATTTGGGGTTGGTGGTGATGGGAGCTTCGAAGGAAGCGTTGATGATGGAGAGAAGGACGTCGAAAGCAAAGGCGCGAATGCAGCCAGAGTCTCAGGGCACGACACTACGCACTGCTAAGGTAAGGCAAGGGAACGCATCCACGTCAGGCAAGTCTGCCTACCAGTACCTTACGGATACCTCCTCGCCTTGCCGACTCAGGTTCCAGGTACGTACCTTCCTTTGGAGAGCAGGGCAGGCGTGCCAGGTAAAGATGGGTCAGCAAGCTTTATGGTGCCTTAGCTAAGCGAGCATAAGGTCAAAGCCGCACCCGGATTTCTCTGTCTGTTTGCGTGCGCCGTGCACCGAGTTCCTCTGCAGACCGGAGCTATGATGCTGAGGTAAGCTGGCCGGGTACCTTGTGTGCTAACTAACCCTTTTCTAGGTGCTTAGGTAAGGTGAGGTGAGATAGCCCCCAGCTTAATTCGGATCATCACTTTTTCCCGTGGCGGTCACCTCATACCGTACCTAAGGTACCTTAAGGTAGGTAGGTCTCCTCTGGGCATCGTTCCAACTTTCAGCAAGACAGAAAGGTGGAGCCGGGGCACGGGAGTGCGACACCGTACCAGCCGGCCAAAAGACCTGAACAGGGGGGGAAGGACAAGTGTGTCATTTCCAGATTGGAGGAAGGACAGAAAATAAAATAAAAATCCCCGACAGGTCGACACGTCGATGGCCCAGGGCCGCCGGGCCAGGTTGTGAGGCCGGGCTCAAGCAGCGCACCGTGGCCGTGGCTTTGCCTTGTAAGTAAGTACCTTACTGCGTATGTACGATTACCTACTCCGTACACCATCTACTAAGGTAGCTGCCCTGTCCTTCTAACGACATTGCTCCGTACTCGTGCCGATGTGAGGTCCGGGCCGGGTTTCTGACGAGGCAGACATGTCTGTCCACTTGCTCGCCCAGCTTTTGCTAGGTTTGCTCAAGGTTTGCTCCAATAGCTCACCTGTCAGCTTGAGCTTGAAGCTCTCTGTTGGGAAGCTCACAGCTATGCCAGGTTGCTTACACTGCTTGTTTGCAGTACATCTGTACTGGTTGTAGCTCACCACCAACCTACCTAAGGTAGATAGATACCTTACTACGTAGTATTCAATTACATTGATACCTTGTACCTACCAGTAGCAGCATCTCGCGGATAGTTGCAATATGCTACAGCTTCAGATGCTACCTTGAACCAGGCTGCATCCACCACTACCACTCACTCATCCATCAATGCTTGTCTACCTACCTTGTCCAAGGTGCCTTGAGCAAGCTACGGGAAGTGAGCCCGTTCTCAGTGAGTGCTAAGGTAGGTAGAGCAGAGCAGAGCAGTGCAGTGCAGAGCAGAGAGCCAGACCACCTCACTGGGGCCCAGCCTGACCTGCGATCGGCGCGCGACCAATCCATTTTCATCCTTTCTTTCTCGTCTCCAAATTTCCCACACGCCTGTCGCCTTCTGTCTCACGCACACGCTTCGTCTCTCTGACCCCTTCTCTCTTTCTCTCTCTCCCTCTCTCTCTCTTGCTTGCTCTTGCCTGCCAGAGCACACTACACCGGTACCTCACCTTTACCTCACTTTACACCTTACCACGGGGTACATTGCCGACCTGCCTTACTGCATTCCTTGGGTAGGTACCTCAAGGCTCAAAGTCCTGTTACAATCGGGCCCTTAGGTACCTACTTCTCTGAGCCAGTGCCGCAACGCCAAGTTCCAACCCAACAGCAGAGGACAAGATGTTTTCTTGCTGCTGAGATATCTTTCCCCATCTTCAATCCGCCCGCTTCGTCTCTGCACACCACCACCTCCACCAACACCAACCCAGAGCGCATCGAAGCAACGAGGCTGCACCTGCACACGCACCCGTACCCGGCCACACAAAACACCAGAGCTTCCATTCGTACTTTGCGACGCTCTCTTCAACCCACTACCAAGCGCGCATCTTCAATCGCATCCACCCATATAGCTCGTCTCAGCTCCCTCCAACCACGTGCCGTCCACGTCGTCCAAATCCTCCGCCCGATTCCTTGCGATTACGACGACAGACTCGCGACGACGTTTTCTACCGCACCACCAGCCCGCCGTCCTCGATAATTGCCACATATCACATACCCACGCCCATTCAAGCAAACGACAAACGACCCCTCTTCCTCCAACCTCGCCCCAGCCTTCAAACTCGATCTCGAACGAGCCGCCTTTGCGCTCCTATGTCCCTCCTTGGACATTGAACAGCGCCGCTCTATACGTTCAGCGCATGTCTTGCTGCCCTTGGTGGAAGCTATCTCTGACCTCCAGTCCTTCCCGTCTCTCCGAATCCCGAAATACACGACGAACCCGAAACCGATCTCTGCCATCTTCTCAACCTGACTCACCACTGTACTACGACGGCGTGATGAATGCCTCTTGCGCATCCATCCCGTCTCGTTAGAATCGCGCTGAACTCGCAAATATCATCCGATTAACATCACATCTCTCCTTTTTTTCCAACTGTTTTCCTCGTCGCACACATGAACCGCCGTGTTTGAGAGGCCGAAGCCGAATCTTGTGCATCTGAGCTGAAGCTGGGCGGAGTGCTGGTCCAGACAAAGGAACGCGAGCAAGGGATTATAGCTCACAAGACGCGCGGCACGCCTTGCCTTCGCTGCACACAATGGATTTGAGGAGTTTGATGAACACGTCCGATGATGGAGGAGAGAGGCCGCGTGCTGCTGCTGCTGCTGCTGCTGCTGCTGCTGCCGCTGCCGCCGCCGCTGGTGGCCCTCCTCCGGGCCATCCTGCTCATGCTCACGCCCATGGTCATCAGCATCCACCTCCTCAGCATCTCGCGCCGAAGCATCAGCATCATCTGCAACAGCAGCAGCAGCACCACCACCACCAACAACAGCAGCAGCAGCAGCAACAGCAACAACCGCCGCCACAGCCACCGTACCAGCAACAGGCCCCCACGACGCCTTCTCAGGCTACGACGGCCTATGCCTTCAGAGAATCGGCGTACAGTCACGCATTGCATTCATCACCCGGTAAACCGCCAGCACCTCAGGAATATGCCGTACATCCTCAGGCCTCGACCCCGTCGTATCCTCCGCAGTCGCCTTATCAGACTCCAGGCCCATATCCCGGCCGGCCAGCGCCGCCGCCTCTCCAAGCTGGTGCTCCTGCCCCTTATGCCGATGCGCGATCACCCCAGAGTGCATCCATGCCAGGCCCGTCTCCGTATCGTCATACGCCGACATCTTCCGTCAGCGGTCCCAGTGGAGGTTACCCCTTCCCGCCGACCGGTCCGCCTCAGGAAGCTGCCAGCCCTGTGCAACGACACCAACAATATCCGCCATCCAACGCGTTCCCCCCGAGAGACGGCTATCCTCACCCATCTGGTGCAACCGCGCCTCAGTACGCTCAACAGCAGCAACCGCCGCCACCGCAGCAGCATATGCCTCAAACACCGCCCATTGGGACCCCTGTTAGCGGACACCCATATCTCCATCAACGCTCACAATCAAACCATTCAACTCCCACACCTACATCTGCTCATAGTCAGCATCCGCAGCATCCTGGACAGCCATATCCTCTTCACGGCAGTCCTGTGGCGACGACGCATCCGCCGCCCGATTTCAACCGGCAGCTCTCGCAGCCTCCGACCCCACTGGGCCCGCCCCAGACCGGGCCTCGACAATCTTCCACTGCACCAAGCTTTACACAACCACAAAGCCCGTATCAACAGAGACTATCCGCCTCACACCTCGCTCAAGCCACACCTCCACCACCACCTCCACCAGTTCGCATGCCCAGTTCCTCCCACAGCACCCACGAACGAAGATCATTATCACATAGTGAACGCGACCGAAGCATTAGCGTCAGTCCCAAGACCAGAATACCGAGTTTGCCGAGCAGTATTGGCGGGCAGACAGAACCGGAAGTGCGACCACACCCAAGCGTCACCAACATGGTGGAACCCGAACGCGAACGCGCTGCGACACCCGCCAAGAGAAAACTTGCCGACAGAGACTTGAGTCCCAGGGAATTGGAACGGAAGGAGCCACGGCCCCCGCCTGCCGAGCTCAATGGCGGACCCGCCGTCTCTAGGTCACCCGTGATGCAACGAAAGAGAAAGATCCACGCGACACCCCCAATTTGGGCTCAGACTTGGAATGCTCGAGAAAACAAGAGGCTCAAGCTGGCCAATTTCGAGCTCCAGAAACGAGGGCCGCCGCACATTAATGGCAAGTCCGAGTCTGTCAAGCAGGATAGCACCAGCCGCCATACCTCACCAGAGGCAGCGCGATCCACCGCTCCTCCAGTTCAAGAACCGCCGCCGCCGCCCAAGGCCGAAAGCCTACTTGGTCCTTGGGAGGAGAGCATCCTCGGTACTCGACCTTACGAAGAGCTGTCTAAGACGATCGCCGATTTCTTATTCAAGAATGTCACGCTCCATCCTGATAGTGGGGAGATAATAGGACGTGGCGTGCAGTTCGAAATCGAGGCCAAGATGGGACAGCTCATCGACAGAGACACCAATGATCGTGTCGAGAGAGCGATAGGTTCGGAATGTGTTCTGCACGATACTGGGCGTCTGGCTTTCAGAAGCAGCATGACCGAGGTTTGTTTACCGATCTTTATGAGGAAAGAATCACAAGAGCTAATCCCATCGTTTCTCTGCAGGCTCAGCACAAAGGTCTCAACGAATTCCTCAACACCATGGTTGTGCAGACCGATCCCCGAAACCCCAACGCACGCGGCCGAGTACAAGTACAATACAAACACCGACGAGAGATCGATAAGTTCTACGAGCTGCCAAATGCTCTGCAGGCACGTCTGCCTGGTTGCGTCCGTTCCCTACTAGGTAACAGGCGTTCAATCAAGGTTCGAGTCACATATGACCAAAAAACGCAGCAGGTCCTGGCCAAGATTGTCAAGGCCCGCGTGGCAGATATCCACCTACATCTTCCCACATGCCCACTCGACTGCCGCCTTAGCATCAATCTCGAAATGGCATGGGATGGTTCCGTTGAGGAATTGGAAAGCGTGTCTGTCGGTCATGCAGACAAGTTCCCTGACCGGAACAAGGACCGTCTCAGCTACAAGCAAAATCACTACCAAATCGACTTGACCCAAGTGACGCAAATGATGCCTGGTCCTGGAGTAAGTGAACGCTTGCTTTGATTTGTAGCCCATGGACTTTGCTAACAAGACAAAAGAACACCTCGCAGATGAGCAAGGAACACGAATTGGAAATAGAGCTCTCACCCGAAATCGTTATCGATCAACAACGCCGCGCCATGAGGAACGAGCCGCATCAATACCAGCAACTTGTTGAGGCATTCGTCGACAACGTCCGCGTCCTCGCGCGCAAAAGCCGCGAGTTTGTGTAATATTTATTTGTACGGACGTATCATAAAAACTTGCTTTTTTCGTTTTTCCTTTCCTACAAGTAGCTAGGGTGGTTTGATACCAAAAAACAGAGTGGCTGCGTTTGGGAGTCAAGGACTGAGGCGATGCGTGTTTTGGAGAGTCGTTTCTTCATAGCTGGCTTGGGGTGCTTCGATTTGAACTTCTGGACTTGTTACCCGATTGACATCTCGTTCACTCGTGGGGTTGGTCAACACTGAAATATTGGTTGCCGCGGCCGTTTGCTGTCTGGCACTCTCTACAACGCATCACTGCTTCTACTTGTGACAGAATGCCTGTGAGAGATCTATTCCTACTCACGTTGTCTTCTTACTTTACTTGAGCAGTCATTAGTGAGAAGAATACAGGGTTCCGTGTGACCAATGCGGTCTTTTCCTGCTTCCCGCTGCTGTAGACGTTCCCATATCGCCTCAGAGGTACAAGAAGGCAAGGGAGACTATAGAAGACGGAGGAAGGCAAGTCCAGAGACCTCAAACTTAGCCATATCAATATCGAAATCAGACCTGAGGCAGAAGAGGTTCTTACAGCCCAACGTCCGTAATCCGATGCGGGTAGTTTCCCCGACATTCGATGTCTCTATTTTTTTTTTTTTGGGAGAGCCAGCTCTTCAAAGTTTCGTTGCCCGTGTTGAAATCGATGGGAAGAACAATAGCATCATTGAATTTCAGGCCTCAGTGTCGTTTTCGAAGCTTCTAGAAGTGGTCCAGGGTGATCCCATTCACTTTGATATCTTTGTCCAGGTGCCTACATACATACATCGGGAATAATTGACGTACATCATGCCTCGCCTGCCGGGTCAAGGCATAAGAAACCTGAAAAAGTTTGCTTCCTACCTCTCCTGGCCCATGTACGTTCACAAGGGATGTCCAGTGCAAACAAAGATGTCTCGCTTCGATCTCTCATCAGTGACCTTGACCCTGACGAAGCTTTGATAGACAATGAACAATGGGTATCAGTTTGCCAAATTTACCAATGCAGACGTTTTGATCTTGTCAAAGGGTTGAACTATTTCGGAATGCCATTCACACCTTGAGTCCAGCAATGGTGGAACATGCTTCATCTCCTTGAATAAACTCGCTCGTTGATATTTGAGACGTCTTTTTGCAAAGCTTTTTGGTCGACACAAGACACTTCTCTTCTCAACCTTTGCAAAACCCACCACTCTTTTTCTTCCTTCTCTGCTCTGCCTTTGACTCGTACACTATCTATTATCTCGTACTTTAGGCTTGTAAACCTCCATCTTCCCGTCCATCTCGGCATGTCTGAACCGACCAAAAAGATATCCGAGCCGCAGCAAAGGTACAATCCTCTCATTAGACCAACTGATGAGCACTGGAAGACCATCTATGGCCACTTCAAGGATCTTCTCAGCTTGCCCACCACGCGCATGGGACAAGTCTTGGAGGATTACTTTACATCGCATGAGCGGAAGCTTTTCATGCCAGCTACGGAGCCTCGCAGTTTAAGGAATTGTCAAGAAGACAACGCCCGACGATACCAAAGCTTGATTGGCAACAGATTCAAAGAATGTCGCCCCTCCCTGGCAACAAAATTCACAATGCTCTACTTCGGACTGCCTGTCGAGCCAGTTTTGTCTGAGCTGACGCGCTTTTCGAAGCCGGATTTTGATGTGGACGACTGGGATGAACTCTGCACTGCCGAGGTCCGCCCTCCGCTGCACTTTCTGACAGCCTACGACCAGAGGAATTTCGGATACGACTACATGAGAGGTTAGTAACTGCTATCCAAGCACAATTAGTCAAGCTAAGACGAAGGAAAGGAAAAGAGGACCAATACAGCACGATCCCTGTGGCAGCTTCTCAAATGCCAGACGCCACTGGTGAGGAACTAAGCCTTCGAGGAGGGGGCGACGATGACGATGCCTTTATGGCAGATGTGGACTATCCACCAGATCATGGTGAAGAAGAAAGCCTTGGCCCATCACAGACTGCCATGATTTTGGAAAACGAAGATGACGATTCATTGGATGACGGCTCCAGCAGTGGGATCGTGATGATGCCTGCGTCGGGCATATCAAATAAAGTCATCTCAGGAAGAGGGACCGCCACGCCTGACCCGAGGCGACATCAAAAGCAGTCGGCGATAACCTCTAAAATCGGGCACCCATCACCAGAATCGGACAAAGTACACGGCTGGGTTCCTCTGTTTGGATTCCAAGGCAGAATCATGTTCGATACGGACGACATGTCCACGTTTCAGGAGGCTGCGAGAAAGCTCTTGTCCCTGCGCCAACGGGAGCAAGGCGACATCGTGCTCGTTGAATTTGATTTCAAGACGGCGAAAGTCCTCCGGCAATTCGATGACAATATTCCGCTCAACCCTGTTAGTGATCTTGCGGAACACCTGGGTCAGGCAACCAAGTCCGCATCCAGCTCGGCCTGGTTCGTGCTCCGCATAGGCGAAGACATTCCCTCAGAATGGGAGCCTCCAGAATCCTTCTTCTTGACCACGCTGATCAAGTTGACTCATTTTGACGACGACGGGCGAGAAAACCTCTCGTATCTCAAAGTGCCAGATGACAAAAGCTTCTTTGGCCCCAAGCAAGTGGGCTACATCTACCCTGCCAATAAACCCTGGGGTTCTAATCAATACATGCCCTTTATCACGACGGCACAAGAAGTGCTGGTGGGAAGACCGGATCACCCAGGGGGAAGTCACTGTGATCTTGTCATTTCACGTGATGATGAAGATCCAGAGGGATCATCAGCACCGTGGTATGGTGGTCTGGAAATCCACCGCGAACTCTGGGATAGCATGCATCCTCTGATCAGCAAGGGTCAAGCGTTCCGAGTTCAAACTCGCCCCGTGGCCAACGATACCGTTGTGTTCTACCTGCCGGGATACTCGAACAACGCCAGAACTCTCAAGAACCGAGAGTGCCTTCGGCGAACAGGCTCTGGAGACCCCTATCCAGACGCCCTGCACAAGGTTGGCCTAATGACGAAAAGCGTCGGAATTCCCATGGAAGCCTCTCACTACCTGATTTGGCGCGGGGTCGACTATTTCAACCCATTAATCAGTCGCCCCGTTGGAGCCTACAGTCCAGTTCGGTGGAATTATCGGGACAAAGATTCTTCGAAACAAGCCCAGAAGGCGCTATCAAAGCTCATTATCCGTTCTGTCGACGACAAGAATGAGCCCTGTCACTTCTTCGTGATCCAGCCAATGGATGGGGCTGAAGATCCATGCACAATTGAGGCGGTCGAAGGACTGACAGGTCAGGCAGACTTCAGCATGGAGCCTCTTACTATGAAAGCGTTGAAATCCACGCTGGAAATGCTCTATGCTGGAGACGAAGAGATCACTTACGACGCTGAAAAGGACAGCATTGTCATGGAGCCTCTTTTCAACGAAGAAACAATTGGAAGGAGTTGGAGCCCGGCCAGCTTCGTTCTTCGGCCGGACGCCACCGACTCCGAGGCAGCCATGGCCCGGCGCTTCATCCTAGCTCAAATGGTGCGAGCAGACGTCTTGCAAGATGACGAGTTGGACTTTGGTGAGAAAAGAATGCTCCCTGCATATTCCCTGAGATCGCAGCTAATTTGAGACACGTGTAGTCAAAACACTGGCTAAAGCAACGGAGGCAAATAATTATTGGGGTCCTCGGTATGGCGAAGTGGCACCCTTTCGAAAGGAGTTCTCCCTGCCAGCAATCGTTCCCCCTGGCAAGCTCCATCCCGTGGTCTTCCATGAACCGAAGACGCCGCCTCCTGCTCCTCGGAAATCAGCTCACCCTATGCCGAGAGAGCCTGACCAGACACCCCGTGAAGGAAGCTATGTGCGGCAGCCAAGCATCTTTGACAGGGGCGTCTGGAACCCATCCTTTCCGATCAACGCGCCGCCCGTGGAGGCCATTCTGAGGACCGGGGCAGGCCGAGTCCCTATGGTCACCAAGAACGTTCTAACGCCTAGTGAGCAGCGGGAACTACAGGATAAAGTCTGGAGCCTCTCCAAAGTGAACCTGGCTCGGCTGGCCGCCTGTCCGTACCAGAAATGCCGGTTCACATATCGCCAAGATGAGGACGAGACGCTTCTGGTGCATCTAGAGAAGACTCATGCCGAAGAGAAATGCCCGTGGTGTGATACCCAGCTCCTCAAGCACTGGTCCTATAAGCAGAAGGAGGAGCACTATAGAAACTCCCATGCAGACCAGCTGCGAAAGGTGCTTCGGCTTCCTGAGAAACCCAAATCGCATCCGCCTCACAACCAAACGACCACCCCCGAAAAGCCACGCAATAGCCCTTCAGAGGCCACTACATCTCTTTCAACCTTTATAATTACCGACCAAGCCAGACCTCCAGTTGGCCCGTTGCCCCAGCCAATACAGCCAGCGAAGGCCAGCGACAGGGAGAAAGGCTATCGATACTGTGATCGTTGCGGTCGTGACCACAAAGAACTCAAGAGCTATGAGGACCGAAACCATCATGATCGTGTTTGCGTGCCCTTGGCTGAGGGAGCCGGGCGATGTACATTCTGTAAACTTTGCGGAGATCGTGAGTGGAAGACTGAAAAAGATGCCACAGATTTTGGACCTTTCGACACTTATCCTCACAAGTGCCACGGCACTCTCCACGAAAACAAGCCGCATTGCACCAAGTGCGGATTCTCGATGAAGAAACTCTCCGACGAGAAAGTCGACAGGCATCGCAAGTTCTGCGGGGGCTTCTATGGTACCCTGGGTTGTTTCTGTCCGTACTGCCAGAAATCCTTTGTAAGCGACGGAACCCAGAAGCCTATTGATGAAATCAAAAATCACATCACGGCTTGCCCCCAAGAAGAGGGCCCCAAGCCAACGCCGTGGGACATCTATTCAGAGGTCTTCTGGAAAGATACTGACAAGTCAATCGACCCTCTCTTCGTGGGGGCCGCGGAGACCTCCGCGGCCTTGTTCAAACAACAACGTCGTCCTCGCGCTTCTAGTCGCTATCTCAGTCTCCCTCTCATGTGGCATGATAAGCCAGGACCAATTCCTACGTCAGACCCGCCTTCTGAGTGTCCTGCTGCCGGGTGTCGAGAACCTCTTTTCGGCCTGATGCCATCCGAGGTTCTAGGACACTTTGAGAAGAAACATTTTGAGGAGCCCCTGAAACAGTGTCCGCTCTGCCATCTGTCGTTCAAGAGGCCTAAGGAAGATCGCGAGAAGCAACCGGAGCTCGGGGAGTGGGAGGACAGAAAAGACCAGGTCTCCCACATGGAGTGTCACGTCTACCAGCTTTGGGACATTTTGGCTGGCAGTGCTCGGCCTCCTGCCATGGTCAATCAGGAACCCTTCAACCCGGGTCACAGTCTTTGGGATCCCGAGAATGAGAGCGCATTGGATCGGCGTGACAAGCGCTGTCCGCACTTTGACCAGTGTGGCGCCATGGTGGGCTTCATGAACCAACTCCAGTGGAACGAGCATTTGAAGAAGGCGCACGCTATCGAGCCCCTCGAGACACAGATTGTCCGAGACATGGACGCTGAAATCGCGGCTGCTCGCGAAGAAAGGAGGCAGCAGAGAATTCGCGAGGGAAAGAATCCAATTCCAGGTCTGCCAGCGCCCAAAGATATACAAGACAGCGGATCGGGGCCAGTTGTGACAGGAGGGACGCAGACGGGAACAGGTCCCAGTGTTCAGCTCGGTGGAAATCACGAGAATGGCCCAAAGATCCAAGACGTTCGGCAAGACGTACCCGGCCCCAAGGATAGAGGACCAAAACCCGGGGATGAAGTTCGCGACGGCCATCGAGGTAGCCGGCCTCATGAGCCTGGGCCGATTCTGTCACCCCCGCCTACAGGTTCCAAACCGCACACAGCCACCGCTTTGGGGAATGAACCTCGCCAAGGAGAAAAGCAGCCAAAGAGTCCGAAGGGCCCGATAAAGAAACCTCCTAAAGATTCTGGAAAGGTGACTACGGACCCCAACAGTGTCAAGGGAACGCCAAAGACAGGTGGCAATCCGCCCACGGATAAGTTTGTGCCGACTGACGACATGTACTGTTCACGGTGCTTGCGTCCGACTCCCAAGAGTCACACGAATGGCGAACCTTCGAAACAAGAGCAGATAGACGTGAGTATCACATAATTCTGAGGTACACAGAGCTAACTCATCACCTTTAGGCACACTCGGATCCGAGACGTAGCTGCCGAATTCCAGCGAGACAAGGCAAAGTACAACTTGACCGTGAAGACAAGGCCATATTGCCAAGCAAAGTCGGTTGGATCACGCAAAAAGAAATTGTTAAAGCGGGCGGTGTGACCAAACTCAGAAAAGCCTTTGTCAAAAACAACCCGGGGTTGAAGATGACCATATACCCCACCGATAACAGATTTACGGATATGAGGAACCTGTGGACGCGGGATCCGAATCATCCCAAGAACAAAGAGAACTGGGGATTGCCTTTTCGGCCCCGAAATGATGATGACACTGATGAGAGCGAGGACGACGGCTTGCGGAATTACCACCCAGAAAATGATGAGTCCGGGGACGACGATGAGAACGAGGAAGAGGATGAAGGGGGCGAGAAGATAGCCGATGCAGATGGCGAAGACAACGACGATGATGTGGAGGAGGACGACGATGACGACGGCGGTCCCGGGAACCGGGCTAAGCAGAAGCGGAAGCCGTATCGTGGATTTTCCACCCACGACCCGACATACCGAGATCGTGGGGAAGAGGATGATCTGAGCCAGACGAGCGACAGGGAACTGGTATCGGAGAGCGGAGATGATGGAGCTGGTACCATTGGTGGATCATCCGGTGCGAAGCGGAAGCGCGGGAATGGGGAGTCATCAGGACACGGCAGCAAGGAGGGCAAGGATAAGACCCAGGAGAGGCATCCTAAGAAGGCCAAGGTGGACGCGAGTTCTCAGGGGCGATGACAGGGTGGTGAGTGGTAGAGCGAGTGTCAGTGAGAGATAGGATGGGAGCTTGAAGTGAATGTCGTTAGCTATGACAGAGCTTAAGGCATCTTGTTGAGCTCTTTTGCCGAGTATGTAATGGGAGAATAGCTTCATCTATTGAACAGTTCCGGTGGCTTCGTTGAGTAACATGCTTGGAATGAGTGATTGTCCACTTAGCTGCCTTACCAACAGTTGACTTATCCGCGATTCGTCTGTATCTCAACAAGCCCGGACCGTCGGTTCGTCGCCAATGATCTGGGATACATAGGTAACAAGCGAGGTTCATTTAAAGTTGCGGGGGTGTAAGTGCTGTACACCGCACGCGTGCAGCAGGCATTCAAGAGGCAGATAGAGGCAATGAGAGGGCTGTAAGTTGTGAGTTGCGGCGACTGCCGTCTCCATCACGTCGGCGACTAACAGGGCTCAGGATGGAGGTTGAGACGTGTCCAGGCCGGCCCGCGACGGTGTTCGGGGTCCACGTGGGCGGCTTCGCGGCTTTCATCGGTCTCGTTCGGCCACTTGAAGCACCATGACACACGGATTTGGACGGTTTCGAGTTTATTGTCGGCTGAAAGTCTGATAACGTGCTCTTGATGTGGTTCGGGACATGTGGGAGGTCAATGCCAGTGATTCTCATTGAAGACCAATGGATTGAGTGAGACACGTAAAAGCAAAGGAACCCCCATGTCGCGCTCAGCTTGTGCAGGTCTGAGGTCTCCTTTCTGGAACTGGTCCCATTCACACATCCGTCCGGCCAAAGGGGGCCCGCTTACCTAAGGAACAAGAAACCGAAAGTGGACCTCTCGGTCGGCGACGTCGGTGGTCCCCGGTGAGAGGCACGTACCATCTGCATAACTACATATGCTAGGCACAAGGGCACCACTCACCTCATATTTATGCAGACATACACGTGCCACACGTAACTGTGCAGACCCACTGTCGAGTTTTTCCCTCCTCTCAAAACAGCCAAAAGGCCATCGAGGCGCAATCACGCCATCGCCCCGGTCAGTCACCTCATCGTCCAAGCTCCACACCAGAGCCGCGCTCTCGACGTCGTCCACCACCAAACGAAGCCCATCCCGCCCAATCTAGCCATTCACCTCGATCCAAATCCAATGCAAGCGCCGCGGCGTCTATTTAGCGAGCTCTTACAGCTCTCGACCAGGCGGCCCGTCCCTCCTCGTCCGACTCTTGGAGCATGGCGGCCGAGCTACATCCCTGACGCTCCTCCTCCTCCTCCTCTAGGATGTCGTCCTCTACACGCCTCTGCCTGCTCGAGACACCCCCGACCGACATCCGCCTCCTCCTCCTCGACGCCTGTGACCGGTGGACAGGAATATACCCAGAAACACCAGACTACTGGTACCCGACCAGGAGAGCGCGGGGATGGGCGTGAGCCCCAGCACCCACGCCGTCGCAAAGGTCCGGCTACCGTGAGTACATTGCTTGCTAGCGGCGGGCTCTTGTCTCTCTTCGTCGGCCTCTCGGAGCCCTTCCATGTGCCCACTCAGGACGAAGTCGATGCCTCCGACCCGGACCCGTCCACCGACGACCGCGACCCGTCTATCCCTCGCTTCAGGCTCTCCGAAATCCGAAAACATGATGCCAAATCCGGCAGCCCATGGGTCACCCAAGGCGACAAGGTCTACGACATTACCGACTGGGTTGCTGCACACCCCGGAGGTGATGTCATCCTCCGCGCCGCTGGAGGTAGCATTGATCCCTACTGGAACATCTTCACCATCCACAAGTCGCCCCACGTTTATGAGATCCTCCAACAGTACTTGATTGGCTTTATCGACTCGGACGACCTTGTTGACGGCAAGCCCGCTGCTCAGGAAATAGAAGACCCCTTCAAGCACGATCCTACCCGCGACGAGAGACTCATCACCCTCACTCCCAAGCCTCGCAATGCAGAGACCCCTGTCGAAGGCCTGGCAGACAGCTACCTCACTCCCAATGAACTCTTTTACGTGCGCAACCACATGTGGGTTCCACAGGTTGATGATACTTCGGACTACACCCTCAAGATTGAGCTTCTCGATGGCACCATCAAGGAGTACAGCCTTGATGACCTAAAGACCAAGTTCAAGCCTACTACTGTTGTGGCTGTTTTGCAGTGTTCTGGAAACCGCCGAAGCGACATGACCCGTAACGCCAAGAAGACCAATGGACTCCAGTGGAATGTCGGCGCTATATCTTGTGCGGAATGGCAGGGCGTGAAGCTCACCGACGTACTTGCTGATGCCGGTATTCCTATCCTCGAGGCCATGACTGGAGACACGGAGGCCAAGCACGTTCAATTCATGGCCCTTGAAGCCTACGGCGCCTCGATTCCCATTGAGTCTGCTTTGGACCCGCGTGGTGATGTTCTGTTGGCTTACTCGATGAATGGCAAGCCGCTGCCGCGAGACCACGGCTACCCTCTCCGTGCTCTTGTACCAGGCCATGTCGCCGCTCGTTCCGTCAAGTGGTTGAGCCAGATCACCATTTCCGATGAAGAAAGTCATAGCCAATGGCAACGCAAGGATTATAAGTGCTTTGGCCCCAACGAGACGAGCCCCGACTGGGACCGCGCCGCACCGATTCAGGAGATGCCCATCACAAGCGCCATTACCACCGTCAGATTAGGTGACTGGAAAGCAACAACAAACGAGTCATCGGCAAACGAGGATACCGGCAGCGTCCGCGAAGCGTCTCTCATGGGCTATGCGTATTCTGGTGGCGGTCGTCGAATCGTTCGTGTCGATGTGAGCGTCGACAATGGCAAGACTTGGGATCAAGCCGAGTTACTTGACGAGCCTGGAGCCCCTCCAAAAACCGGGCACAAGTCCTGGGCTTGGAAACGCTGGAGGTACGACGGCGCAATCCCACTTGGCGAGCCAGGTGAAGGGACCAAGAAGTGCACCACCCTGCTCGTCAAGGCCACGGACGAGGCGTACAACTCGCAACCCGAGAGCTACGCGGCAATTTATAATCAGCGAGGAAACTTGGCCAACGCGTGGCACCGTCTGAAGATTTGCTCTGATTGTGCCAACAAGGCCGTGGTCGTGGCTAAGTAGCAATTCGGTGTACGATGTGGAGAAGAAGGCCGAGTGAGCAAGTGGCGGCAAAAACAGGTGAAGAGAGATAAGAGACGAGAGTTTATCGATGGCTGCGGGAGTTTCCACACGCGTCGAGTACATTTGAAGCAGCGGAGGCGTATTGCGGATTCATGAAGCGAAGCCTTTTGTTCATAATTATCGCTTTGTTCTTGGTCCATTCTTTTACTCGGCGTCCAGTCCACGTCAACGATGAAGGTTTTTCAACAACCCAAGGGGATTTGGCGGTTTTTTCTTCTGTTCAACTTTTTTTTCTTTCTTCAAGAGCTTGAATGCGGTCGTAGAGTGTCAGTTTCGGCGCGTAGTCTACAACCCAAATTGAGGTGATATTGTAAAGATCTCCACGTCCCTTCGTATACCTCAAACAACTGTGAATCGCAAAGTAATGAACTAATAGTGAGCTGTGACTTGATACTGCAACTACCTAGTCATATGAGCTGTCTAGAGCAGATCTGTGATGGCCAGTCGAGGACACATCTTACGAGTAAATAGGTACCTGACCTAGTACCCGACCCACGGTGGTGGAATTTGTGAAGCAGCAAAGTTCTGTGCACCAGTAATGCAAAGTCTAGTGAACTGGGTGGTGAGGATAGAAGAGCAAGCTGCAAATGTTCGGAGAGGGAACAACATCATCGGCATTCAATATGATCAATGGGCAACACAGCATCCCCAGTTGGTCACGACTGAAAGTATACTGCTCATTGATTTGGAAAACAAAGATGAAGAAGCAATGAATTACGCCGTTTCTAGGATATGATTTCCCCTAGATTCAAACTCGGGTAAGTGAAAGATGGTATGTTTTCTGTTATGAACGCGCACGACTTTGGGCGCATCTTCCTTTTCTACACAAACGCCGGGTAATGTACAACCTTGCCTTGCCTCCCATCGCCAAATACACAAGCCAGCTAGAAGACTCCGACGGTCTCCTCTTAGATCAACACCCTTGGCATCTAGTCATCGTCGGTGTATCTGGGTCCGCTGGCTGCTGGAGTCTCGGGTGCGCCATAAGCCGCAGGAGTCGGCGCGCCGTAGTAGGCTGATGAGGAGTTGAAGCCGCTGGCGGCCGGAGTAGGGGCACCAGCAGCCGGTGTGGGCGCCGAGTCTGCTCCCCAACCACCTTGCCATCCACCGCCTGGAGTTGGGGCACTTGCGGCGCCTGGCGTAGGCGCCGAATAGGCACCAGGAGTAGGGGCATTGAGAGCTCCGGGTGTCGGTGCACTCAGAAGAGCGCCACCAGGCGTCGGTGCGTCGTAAGAGTTGCCGGGTGTGTAGCCCCATGAGTCGCCTCCGCTGGCGCCGGGTGTAGGCGCAGAGCCATAAGCAGGCGTCTTGGATCCCGAGCCCCAGGCATCTCCGCCTCCGTACGCCGGCGTCTTCGAACCAAGGCCAAAGGCGTCATGTGCTGGTGTCTTTGCGCCTGATTGCCACGCAGGGGTTCTTGAACCTCCGCCGTACGCGGTGCGGTTGCCATCTCCGTAGGCAGTTCGAGAGCCATCGGCCCAGGCTGGGGTACGCGATCCGCCGTAATCTGGGCCACTTGACTTCCAAGCAGGTGTACGGCCACCAGTAGGTGCAGGAGCTTGTGTTTGTTAGCATCCGTTTTCAAAAGAGTAGCGAAGTTGAGGGCTGACTTACTCCTTGAGCCCCACGCCGGGGTTCTCTCTGGGCCGCCAGAGGCAACAGGGGTTCGGCCTCCTTGCCAGTCTCCTCCATGTCCTCCACGGCCACCACTCGGAGGACCACTGTGTCCGCCACGACCTCCACGACCGTTGATTTCAATCTTGGCTCCTGTGATTCTATCCTTGAAGCTCAAGTGATCTTTAGGTACAGTGATTGTCTTGCTCTTAGTGTGCAGCTCGACACGAGCGTGTGTGTCAGTCGCATCCTTGACAATTCCGAGAAGACCCTTGTAACCGCCCTTTCGAATAATGACTGTCTTGTCGATAGCACGATCACGTCCTCCAAAGCTCTTGGGCGGTGCCATCTTGCTCTCAGATCCGTTGGGGTTGCGCTTCATGGCGGGATTCATCTGATCCAGGTTGGGGCCGGCTGAAAGCACACGCCCACCCTTGGCAGCGATTGTATTGACATTTCCAGCCTTGGTCACGAAGACACCGGCGTTCTCATTACTGTCGGTGTTGTGAAGGAAGAGATAGGCTCGATGAATGTGGATAATCTTGCCCTGGCGTTGCTGACCGCCATACTCCCTGACCACGTCGTCGAGTCTGATTTCGGAGCCATTTCTATCGGCGGCCACGGCGATCTTCCTCTTCGGCAGTTTGTTGGCGATCTGCGAAGGCATGACTTGCCGGGTGTCTCCGTTCTGGTCGAGAACCATCACCGACTCACGGTCGACCTTGACAATACAGCCAACTGTCGTGGGGTCCAGCTGGACGAGGTCAAACAGCTCGTACTGACCCAGCGAGCCCTGTCCTCCGATGTCGCTAGCTTCCCGCAAATCCTTGCTGAAGACGGTGACTTCGGTGTTGGTTTGATCGGTCAAGAAAGTGACTCGATCTTCTGAGATTTTGACGACCATACCAACTTCATCACGGAATCTACTGCCGCTAGTAACCTTGACGTGATCTCCAATCCTGAAACGCTTTCTCAGGCCTTTGGTCGGCACCTCAATAATTTGTCCGGCTAGTACTCCTTCTGTGACTTGCATGGTGACAATGTCACCTTGGACGTTGGTGGCCTTGCCGACCACGCCCTTCTGCTCGCCCTCGTAGACTTCAATAATGTCACCAGGCAGGTAGGTTACATTGATGTTGCTGTCCTTTAAGCTCGATGCCAAAGCCTTCAGGTCGAGATTCTCGGTGCCATCCTCGGCACCGGAGGCAAACCTAGTCACCTCCTCCAGGGTTGGGTTGACATCCGTAACCACCAGTTGCTGGATCTTGATATCCTTGACTTGGAAGCCGTTCTCGAACTCGTCGCCCATGTAATTCCACACCTTGGTGGTGGGATTACCCTGGATATGTCTCGGATGCCGCTTGCGAGCTTCGGTCTCGTTGAAAAGGCGCTGAGGTGGGCGCGGGCCCGCTACGCCGACAGGTCGCTTTCTCTTGCCATCGGCAGTCACCGCCGACAGGGCATCGTCTCTCATTCCGTAGTCGAGACGAGGGATGAACCGAACTCTGGCCTCGAGGCCGTTCTCAGTGACGTCGATGACCTGAGCAAGATCGCCAGCGTGTTTGGCAGGCTTGCGGAGTCTCACCCATGCGCCGGGTTCCAGGGTCGGGGTCTTGGTGACACGAAGCAGGTCAGGCATATCCTTGATATCGACGAGAATCATCTTGGATCGCGGGTAGACGTTGAACATGCCGTCGAGAGCAACCATGATGTCGGTGGAGCGATTGGCTTCAACATAGATGTAGCCTTTCATGACGGAGGTCGGGCCACCGCGCTCAAAGGCCGAAATAATGGCCAGCTCGTCCTTAGTCCCAAGTCTCTCTTCGATACGCTTCATAATGGAGAAGACCACCTCCCGCTCCTTGCCTTCCTTACATCTGACAGCCCAGATAGTAGGATCGTCGACACTAGGCATCAGCAGACGCTTAGGAACGACGGCCGAGTCTCCAAAGCCCTTGTTCGGGCGGCGGTTTCCGTAACGCTGTCGAAGGATTTCGGCTTGCTTTTCGGCGTCCATGCTCGCCTCCATCTCGCGCCGACGGTCCAACTCTCTGTGACGTCTGTCATCATCGAGGCCTCCGCTCTCAGCAATGTCGTCGGGATGGGCATTGTCGATAAAGTCTTCAATTTCCTCGCCATCTTTCTCCTCATCCTCGCCGTCCTCCTCGTCGTCGACTTCGGCCTCGATATCGAAGAAGGCGGCTCGGCGATCCTTTCTACGCTTGCGACGATGTCCCTATTGATCAATTATTAGAAAATTTCACGCCGAGAAAGAGGAGGCTATGTCGGGGGATGCGGTGAAGGCAAAGATTTGCCTGGCGCCTTCCCGGTGTAGCTTTGTGTAATCAGGCAGACGGCGCGAGCAGCGACAGGCTTACCTGTTGAACATCGTCTTCGTCCTCGTCGTCCTCATCCTCTTCTTCATCGTCATCGTCGTGTTGGCCCGCATCATCTTCGTCTTCTTCGTCGTCATCGTCGATCACTCTCGACTTAGAGGGAGCAGGTGCATCGTCAGCAGGACTACTTTCTCGAGCATGATTGTCGCTGGCTGGTTGGTCTGGTTCCTCGTCGGACAAGTCGGCGGGCGCAGGGTTGAAGTCATCCTCCTCCTCAGAGTCGTCGTAGCGGTTGGAAGACATGGTGGGAAATAACGAAACGTCGAGTCAAGAGTCTCGAGTTTGTAGATTTCCCGTGATGTTGCTGATGCGAGGTCCTTTCCGAGGTGATTCTGCAAAAGAAGCAGAGTATCCGTACCAAGGGAAGGAAACAATGGCCCTTCCAACTGGTTCGCCTGATGGCAGGCAGCGACCTTTTTTCCGGCGAATCAATCAAGCGGATAGATGGAGGAAAGGGCCGAAGGGTTTTGGCTGTCGGGTCGAAGGGTGGGATTGAGGTGAAGGCAAAGGTAGAGGAAAAGGCAACGGGAGGATAGAAAGCCTAGAACATGCAAAGGCAACGACTAAAGACGGGCGAATAACGCGAAGGACATCTCTATCTGAAAAGGGACTAGCGCGCGGTCGTCCCAGACTGACACCTGAGGCAAATCGATAGGTGGTAGCCTCCAGGTAGGGTAGGTGCTCTGCAGTGGATCCACCCTACCTTCCTCGCAGCTCCTGTCATCCCTCCACTGCATCCCATCCCCGATTGACTTCACTGCATCCCGCCCTCGCTCCACTGAGTTGAAGGACAACAAGCTGTGTTGGCATTTATATATGGATTTTTGTTAGGATGCATCTCCTGCATTAATGAGACCACTCACAAGTTGGTTCTGATTTCAATCCTCCTCAATCATCAATCTAGATCTAGCAAGTAATCGTGGATGGTTGCTGAAGTGCAGAAGTGATAAAAAGAGCAGCAACTATAAGGTCACGATGAGTTCTGATTAAGATATGACAGTGTGATTGAAACATCGCATCTATCAAGAATTTGAAATTCATGAGGCCAGTCGCACCTAAGTAGTTTTTTACCTTGAAGTTTCGCGTACATACGGCACACTCCGAATGCCCGTCTTGATCCATAGGAGCCGATGGAAGCCTCGGCATCTTCTCCAATTCATCAGAAACAACAGCCCTGAATGAACACTTTCCGTCCATAAAGACTGGGGACTGACCCCTGCATCTGAGTACTTTCGATCTTCTTTAAGCAAATAGTATCAAGTCAAGTTTGAGCTGAAAATGGTCGGCAGTTCGAAACGAAAAATGAAGGCTATTGTTATCAACGAATTCGTCAATGTGAGTCTCAGTCTCCTGAAACCTTGCTTCAGCTTCACAAACATAACTCTGATTCATCCCCAAGGACTTTGATGAAATAAAGGTCTCCGATATTGACCGGCCAATCTCTACAGCAGACCGCTACCTCATCCAAGTCAAGGCTGCTGGGGTGAACTTTGTCGATACCCTCTATGTAAGTCCAAGACAAGTTCTAAAAAGTGCCCCAAAAGATGAGTTGGCTGGCTTATATGGTACTTCGCACCTAGGCCAGGGGAAGACACCAAAACAACCGGTTCCTGGTACGGCCGCCCTTCACACTAGGCCTCGAATTCGCCGGCATCATCCTCTCATCACCACCTACCTCCGAATTCCGTCCCGGCGATAGAGTCTTCGGAGGCAGCACAGGTTCCTACAGCGAGATCATCTCCCTCGACGTTTTGACGCCCCTCCATCGCATCCCTCCCCAATGGACATTCGCCCAAGCCGCCGGGCTAGCCGCCACGCTCCCCGTCTCCTACGCAGCGCTCGTCCAAGCTGGCATCAAGGCCGGCCAGACTGTCTTGGTCCATGCCGCTGCCGGTGGGCTCGGTCTGATGGCCCTTCAGGTTGCCGCGGCCTTGGGATGCCGTGTGATAGGGACGGCGGGCTCATCCGAGAAGTGCAACGTGGCTCGACGTTCGGGGGCTGATGTTTGCATCAACTACTCCGAGGATGCGGCGTGGTGGGATCGTGTGCTGGAGCTGACTGATGGGAAGGGTGTCGACGTGGTTTTTGATCCCGTCGGCCTCGTGGACCGAAGCTTGAAGTGCATTGCTCACAGAGGCAAGATACTGATTGTAGGGTTTGCTGGTATCCAGAACGATATGGAGAAAATCGCCATGAATAGAGTCCTACTCAAGCAGGTGTGTTTGATAGGTTATGTAAGTATTGAAGATCCCACAACCACCACCCACTCGAAGTAAGGTAGCTAACTAATGCCCCAAAGCGATACGGCGAAAGCTTGCGACGGTATCCTGAAGAAGAAAATGCCATCTGGAACCAGCTGAAACCCTTGATGGAAACGGATAAAATCCGGCCTGTCATCTATCATGCTGAGTATCCTGGTCTTGAACATGTTCCCAGGGCTCTCAAGGACATGTTAAGCCGCAAAATTTGGGGCAAAGCAGTCATCACTTTGGATAATGACAGTGGTAGTCTGCCTTTGACAAAGCTCTAATTCACAGCAATGGACTCTTTGTGCGAAAACCTGTGTTTTCAAGTTACCTAAAATAGGTACATGTATTGAGGACACTGGGAACGGCCACATTGGTGCGGGACAAACACCGCACGCTATCATAACACTTCCCTCCGTCTTCCCCGTTCGACTGTGCCCGCCGGTATATAGCCATCCACTGTCCCAAACTTTTGTTCCTGACCATCGACCAGAGGGGGGTCATACTGACTGCGTCCTGTGGTGCATTGAAACCAACTCACCCCCAATGACTGCCTATTCCAAGTGAATTCATTTGAAACATACTTCACAGACAGTATCCCCTTCCCTACAGCCGGCTCAAGAGCCGATCCCCAAACGCCAGGCTTTGCGATGCATATATCATGAGTGACCAGCCAGATCTATGAACAGCGCAGCAAGGCGGTCGGATTAGTTGCTGCTCGTCGCCCTTGATTTCTTTCAGGCGCCGGTTCGTCCACATGTCTTGACACCCCATAGGCCCCTGCCGGCGCTGACTCCCAGCCACTCTCCCTGGTCGCTAGAAAGATGAGGCACCCAAGCAAGGTTGCCGACTTCGTAGTCGCATTGCCAGCTAGCGTACGGGCTTCTCGTGTTGTCTGGCTGGGCAGCACCGTTGGCGGGAGGACCACCACCAAGAGCAGGGTTGTTGTTGTACACATCCCATAGCAGCACCTGGCAATCGTCGGCTCCCGAGGCCAGAACGCCACGCCTTGTAGGCGACCACTCTATGGAGTTCAGGGAGCCTCCATGGCCCCTAAGTTCGAGAAGTGCCTGTCCAGGATGTCTTACATCAAGGATACGAATGACGTTCGAGTCTTGCGCAAATGTGGCTAGCAAATGGGTATCGTGGGGAGAAGTTGCTAGTCTCAACAGGGGCGGAGGGTTCGACATGGTCTGCTGCGCCAGCGTAGGGCTGATACGTCCTCCATTGGCATCTATCATGTTTGATCAGCGTCACTCAACTTGCAAAGAAATGGTTCTGGGGGTGGAGGTTACCTCGTTCATCTTTCCCAGTGGGCTCGTAGATGATGGTGCTGTGCTCCAGACTGCGCAAATCGAACATGCGGACGCTACCGTCCTGTCCGCAGCTCACGAATACGTCAACACTGTTGGCGCAGAAGCGGACATCGTAAACCTCCTTGTCGTGGGCAATCAATTGTGTCTTGGCCGTCAGCGACGGAATATCCCAAATCGTGCAGGTGGTATCGATACTGGACGTGATAATCAAGCTAGGTGAAACAGTATTCCAGTCTAGCGAAGTAAGCGGTGCAGTATGATCTGGGGTCTTGGAGTTGGACAGAAGCGCGAGAGGCGTGAGTTTCGTTACGGCGGGGTCTCTGGCTCGGTTGGTAATGGAGTTGTTCTGGGAGACAGGGCTTTCGGAGGGAAGAGACCACAGACGAAGGTGGTCTCCCGACGTCGCGAGCAGGTCAGTAGACTGCTTCTGCGAGGAGGGCGGTTCCCAGAGCAAGCGCGTCACAGGGTAGGAATGTGTAGCCTCGGCGACTTTTTGAAATTCGAGGTTGATTTTGGGGGTGCCCGGCTGGTAGACATCGTTGGGCGTCGGGACCATTTGGGTATCGAGGATTTGGATCTAGAGGGAAGCGATGGTGTTAGCTACACCCAGCTATCAACGTCATTGCGAGGGAATTCTTACGTAGTTATGTCCATCTTCTAGATAGCTGCCAACGGCAAGCTTCCCAGCGCCGTTGCCCTGGGGAGGCCACTTGCACCAGTCGAAAGCATACAGGGCCCAAGGAGCGAGATAGTTGCTGGTTCCAGGCTGCGCGTTGGCAAGCTCATATGCAGCGCTACCGGGCACGCCATCGGACATGCTCGAGTCGGCGCGGGGTCGAATATCGGCCAAGCCCAAGGGCGTGTTCGAGATGTTTCGCTGAGAGCCGGGCGCATTGTACTTTTGGTCTGGCGGAGACATGAATTGGGATCCAGAGCCGCTGGGGGTGGTGGGTGTGTAGGGCGCAAAGGACGAGCCACCTTCGTACCCGGCAGCAGGCGAGGAGCGCGAGTAGCTGTGGGACAGGCTCAAGCTGGGAGGCTTGGAAGGCGTATGATAGTCTTGCTGCTGCTGCTGAGACTGCATTGCAGACATACTGGGAGCGGTGTTGGCAGAGATGGCGGGAGGTCGACCACCTGCACCACCTGGTTGCAAGACGTTGGGCACCGACGATGTGCTCTGGTAAGGAGGCGCCTGGGGGTGGGAGTTTGGGGAGGACTGCTCCAGCTTGATATGGGGTGCGGCGGGGGCAGCAGAGGATGATGAGTATTCGCGGGGTGAAGGCTGGCCGTGCTGGATCATGCCCGCTGGCATGTGCAATTCGTCTTGCTGGGAGCTGTAGGTGCCAGTGCGTCGCGGGGTGCCAGTTTGGAACTGGGGTTGCGACTGCTGCGGCGACTGCTGCTGCTGCTGTTGCTGATTCATGGCTGCGAGAGCAGAGGAAGAAGATGGCGAGGAGGAGGAGGAGGAGGATGGCGTTGGCGCGGGCAGCAGTGTGACGGAGGGGGAAAGGCCCGGCGGCCCTGATGTCTCAGTCGCAGTGGAGTGGGTAGGCAGCGAGTTGGGAGAGTCTCGGTGCAGCTGCTGGCCATGGGCCGGAAGCAGAGCGGCGGGGATGGAGGCACGCTGCTGGTTGTGCTGGGAGTAGGACTGGGAGCGGGAATGGGAGAAAGGAGGGATGTTGGAGGAAGAGGAAGGCGGGTGAGAAGAAGAAGAATAGGGAGAGTAGGGGCTGGACTGGGAGTAGGAGTGGGAATACGAATGGGAGTGAGAATGAGGTTGAGAATGAGAGTGAGAGTGAGACTGAGAATGAGACTGAGAGCGTGAATGGGAGGATTGATGAGGCTGGAGGGCGCGGGCGGAAGCGGAGTCGGTCGCTGCTGTGGGCATACGAGTGGCCGCGGCGCTGTTGGTGGTGGTGTCGCTAATGGTGTTGTTCCTATTGTTCGGCGTGTTCTGGTAATAGTCGCTGTCCCAGTGGAAGTTGGGGACGGCGGTGGGATCTTTGGGCACTAATGGCCCAGGCGCACCAGCGGCGGCTGCTGTTGTTGTGGATGCGGACGTCGACGCCGGTGGTGTCGAGGTTGAGGATGACTTCAAGGCTTCCGGAGTGTACTGAAGGGAGGAAGTAGTGGAGGGAGAAGCGAGCCCGATGCCGAGCCCGGCATGAGGAGGACCGCCTGAGGGATGTGAGTGGTGGTTGGGCTGGAAGTAGCCAGACTGTCGTTGTTGCTGTTGCTGTTGCAGTTGTTGCTGAGAATACGGCGAATATTGCGATTGTTGCGATTGCTGGGAGTACACCGACGACGAGTAGGAAGGTACCGGGTTGGGCAGCGGTGGGCGGGTGTGGCCAGCCGTGGTACCACTGCTACTACTACCACTACCTGTACCTGCGGTTGTACCTGCAGTTGGAGGGTCATTCAAATTGACATTGACATTGGCAGTCGCATTGGAGGCTGAAGCTGCCGCTACCGCTGACGCTGACGAAGCATTTCCTCCAGAGAGTCCAGACTCAAAGGTAGAAGAAGAAGAAGGAGGACCGCCGGAACCTGGAGGGGAAGTGGTGGCGGCGGCAGCGGCAGCGGCCGGGGCTCCAATGGACCCCAAGGCCTGGGCCGCTTGCCAAAGAGCCGAAGACGCGCTTAGGCGATGCTGGTGGTGCGGACGCCATTGTTGCTGTGGCTGCTGTTGTGTCTCGGGGTCGATGCTCTGCTGCGAGGCTGTTCGACGATGGCCCAGAAAGTGCATCATGTTTTCTTGGGTAGGATTTCCCTCGTTGTACGACTCCAATAATGTGCGCGCGTGGGGTGGATGGGACGCGGGACGAACGGGAAATCAAAGAAAAAACAAACAACACAAAAAAGATGAACAAGAATGGCCACAATGACAACGACGATCAGGGAACTAGACACACAAGGGACGAGGGGGAAGAGAAGGCGACGCACACGGCAGCAGGACAGGGGCAGACGGTGGCAGTGCGGCGTGTCCACGTCCTCGGCATCCGCAGTCTTGGTCTTCCAGGTTGTCTGATCTGATGACTTGGTGAGAGTGAGAGGTGAACTTGTCCAACGGCTGTATGCTCAGCTTCTCATCCGTCTAGCAATCCATCTTTTGCTTTCGTCGACCCGGCAGAAAACTCACGCGAGTTTACGGCGGCATCCCTCTGACTAATGAATGTCCGACTCGTTCATCGTTGATGGGCCCTACCGACTGGACTGGACATGGACATGGACCTGGGCGTTGGGCATAGACGGACAACGGGGACACGGAGACGCGGTTCCAGACGCCGCCGGGGATGAGGGCAGTAGGAAAAAATAGAGCCAGGGCAGGCGGCTCATCTCATCAATTGATTGAAACTATGAAGAGAAAGCAACGATCAGGCGAAATTGTCCCTCGCCGCGGCCATCGCTTGCACAATGTACATGAAAAGGCACTCAGCAATGGCAAGACGATGAGACCCGTAAAGCACCGTATTCTGGGAAGCCAGATGGTGCTCAATTCCATGATGAAGCACATGGACAACAGCTCCAGAGAGAAGCTCTACGCATCACAGTGTGTCTCACTCTCGGTAGGAAGAAGACGCTGATAGATTAGATGAGCAAGAACATTTTCTCGACCGCACTGACTGGGCCTCATACTTCCTGTTCTCCGTTTGTTCGGTGAGCTATATGCATAACAGGCAATGTTGAAAGGATCGTGTTCCAACATCCAACAGCAATGGCATCGTCCAATGGCGCATTCCCACATACATGCTGATCGATAATCAAGATGTCGAAGCCATGCTTACATAAGGCAGGCAAGTAGCTTTTACCTTACCTAGCTACGGAGTACCTGGTGCTACCTATGTACAGATGATAAAAAGACCCGCCGTGTGACGTCTGTCTCGCACCAGCGTCTGTGGCACATGCTCAGAGCTCGTGAGCTCTTGCTTCCCGAGCCAAAGATACTTTCTATCTTGTACCTTTACAGCTGGCCTCGCGCTCCCATCATCGACATTGCTGTGCTCTATCCCATAGATCTCATACATTACCAATAGCATCTTGCCGTATCCCGGGCCCAACACTCATCACCAATGTCTACTTGTTGTTATTAATATCCTATTCCTTTAGCTAGAGCGCATACATACTTGATCGTGCCTCTGAAAAGCACGCTCGGGAACCTTGTCAACCACGACATTCCTATTGACCGCGCCATCGCCAGCCAATTCTCCCACTCCTGCCCAGCAGCGTCAGATGCGACCTGATGGCATCCGGTTCGCAAAGTTTTCTCGACCGACTCTCACCGAGCCGACAAATATCTCCCATTCTACCACTCTACACGTCCCGACCGAAGCCTTCAGATGACTACGACCTCGATGATCTGTCCCCCAGGCCCGATGTATCGCTGCTATCAGAGTCGCCGCCGCCGCCCATCAAAATGTCAAAAGGGCGCTCCCCTTCTCCCGTAGATCCATGGGACGACGACCCTTTTGGTCCGGCGGGCTCCGTCTCCAAGTTGAAGCCGAAGGCCATGTTCGTCGGCCCGCCACCGCCCATAGCTGCCTCGGTGGTGTTGCAGCCCTCCGCATCGTCGGGGAGGCGGGGATCCCGAGGAAACACACACAAGAACGAGCCCAAGGGCATGTCGTCCAGCCGGCTTGCGTTTGGGAGCATTCTGTTCGATCATAGCTCGCGCGACTCAAGCAAGTCCCGCGTTGACTCTGTCTGGCGGAATCTACAACACCGAGAACGAGCTCTCCACCGAGAGGTACAGCGATTACTAGACATACAAGCCACAAGACTTGGATCCGGCGCCGAGTCTCTCGATGCTAGCACTGTAGGAGCTGAGACGTGGAGTGACTCTGGGAGCAGTACGCCAACGGGAACGTTCTATTCCACAGCGACGTCCAAGTCACGCATGATGGCCTCGCTAGACCCCCCCGTACGCGCGACTCCTCGCGGTGATATTATACCTGTTCGACAGCCCAAGGCACAGGGGCAGCAGGGCCTTCGTGCGGCGCGAAGCGGACTGCGACAGGCATTGGCAGCCCTGACTGGCCTCAAGACGGAAGAAAATGCGTACATCGAGTCAGCCCTCTCTCAACGAAGAAAAGCCTTGTCGTACCTAGACAAGTTGGACAAGCGCAGGGTCAGCATCTCTGCCGAGTTGCATAGCTTGGCTGATGACGATGAGGAGCCTCTCGCAAAGGAGCTGCGAGGCCTGGGAGAGCAGCATGATTCTTTGGGCCAGGAGATACGCGAGCTCGAGGAGAAGCTCGTTGGTATGAGGAACCGGCACCGATGGCTGGAGCGAAAGATGGAAGACGTCCACAACCGCCGAGAGGCGGGCTTGAGTGGCTACAGGGGTGCGTTGAGGGAGGTCGAAGGTGAAGTCACAGCCCTGCTGCGCCGGCCTCCAATCGAGCCCCTGGATCTAGACGTTGTCGAAGCTGTATCACGGAACGACTCTGGAACCGGAACCGACATCCAAGAGCTGCCCGGCGGTGCTGAGTTCTTCCGCATGATACCTGCGCGACGGACACTGAGCATGGCCAAGGACTGGTGGGAAAGTGAAATGGACTTTCTCCAGAAGCGAAAGGCGCAGGTCGATAAGGATCGCGATGCGCTAGATCAAGGCACGGAGTTGTGGCAGGAAACAGTGAAACTCGTCACGACATTCGAGGCAGACCTGCGCCAGTCTCTAAGCGGCGGTCCTTCCTCGGCCAAGGGCAAACAGACTCCTCGTGCACAGCAAGAAGGCGTCGAAGCTCTCTTGCCGCGGATGGCCAAGGTAATCTTGGAGCTTGAAGCAAACATGAGGACGGCCCAGCAGAACAATTGGAATCTTCTCATCTGCGCCGTCGGCGCTGAACTCGAAGCGTTCAGAGATGCCGAGGCTCTCCTTCGAGGAAGTCTACCAAAGCCTCAGGCAGCGGCGACGAAAGTTGACGACATTGAAGAACCCTGGCACAACGGCGATGACCAAGAGGAGCAAACCTCGCAAACGAATTTGGCCACAGCTACGACAGAAAGTCATCAAGGAGAGAGTGACAATGAGGTCCCACCCGACCTGCTAGTGTCACATCTGGAAGAGCACGACGACGACCGTTCCCATGTCGGATCCATACGAACTTCGTCTTCGAGGCGTGACAGCGATAATGAGGTTCCTCCAGAGTTTCTTGCCGAACACAGTAACGATGAGGGCATAGACTGATGTGAAGGTGCCATGACTTTGTATGCGTAGCATTTGTAAAGGGTATAACCCCGATGTAAGCTGTTGCTCAGTAGCTTCATGTGTTATCAAAGCAGATGCTACTGAAGCACGCATCTTTTGACGCGTAGTTTTTTGCACTTTTGGGATATGATATATGTTTCTGATTGGGCTGGCAAAGCTGGGTACAGCAGGCAGGACAGGATACCCCGCAGACCATGTTTTAAGCCGGTGTTGGTTGGGGTGTTTATTAGTTGGAACTTCTTATGGAGCAGTTTGTGTACAGCCATCCACGAATTGACTTTTTGTCTCTCTCCAAAATGCCACCTGCATTCACAGTCTCACATCATAGGGCTAGGATTCGTCAAGCAAGGGAGCTATGGCGCACGGAAGGAGCTGCAGTGGCAGACTGTGGCGCATTGGATTTGGACGGTAACCTCGGCTATGGCCGCTGTCCCGCGACGAGGACGATCCCGAAAGTGGGGTCCACAGGTCCGGTGGTAAGGATTTACACGGGGTAGCCCGGTGCCCAAAGGGGGACTTTTCGCAATAATAAAACCAAGAGTTCGCCGGTGAAGGCTCGGTTTCCTGTTCCCAAGGTACAGCTAAAGAAAGTACGCCCCGATCTCGCCCATAACGCCTGCACGCAGAGACACGAGTCTGCTTTTTCGAGATTCCGATAATCAGCGATTTCAGCCCACGAGAACACCCGGTTCAAGATCCGCCGATACCGTTGGATTTACACCGCCCGGGAACCGAACCTCCCGATACCGATTTCTTCCGAGCAGTCGCAGAGCGTTTCCAGCATCGTACTGCGGCAACAAATGGCGTAGTGAATAAGGTTGTAGATGAATGAACAGCGGGAGATTCGACTTCAAATCGTCATGGAGAATGGCGGCCGGGTTTCGTTGGAAAACGGATATACTGGTGTTGTCTCGATGTCTCGATTTATCGCCTGCGTTCGAACCAACCGCTGGAGCCGGCGATAGCGACCGACTGATCCATCACCCACTCGCCGACACCGAGATACTTCTCGATCCATTTCGTCATGTCCTTGTTTTCGCCGGCAGCTCTATCCGTCTTGAAACTGGGTCTGACGATTCCCAGATTGGGCACATGTTAGCCGCCGCAGAGTCTTGTCTTTGTCGTCGTCGAGGGCAGAGATCTAGTATTCGCATCGGAATATTGAGAAGGTTCACTCACGTCAGGCCGGTCGAGCGCTGCATACCCGCGAGGAAGGCGGAGACTAGGAACAACCCAGAATTAGCGAACCGATCGACTCGAAATTATACATCCGAGAATAGGACGACCGAAGAAGAGTGGCTGGGGAGGGGACTTACAGAGCACCGCATCGAATGCGTAATGAGTCAAACGTCCAATCTTTGACCAGAGGCCCAGAGTCAGCAAGTTGAGGAGCTAGGGAGGTGTTAAGACTGCGCGAGCAAATCTCCAAGCTAATGTAGGCAGCGAGGCGAGCCAGAAGCACTCGCCAGCAGCCCGATGGGGGAAAAGGCTAGACCAACCATTTTGGTGCAAGTTGTTGAAAAGGTCTGTTTGGTTCGATTTCCTTCGTCGCTTTTTCTACGCTCGATGACGTTGCTCTATTCGAGTGTTTCTTGTTATCGTTGCCGTCGTCGTCTCGTGGTTGTTGCAGCGTTCTGTCAAAAATCAAAGGCTGGAGTTCGAAGGTTGTTGGTCATGAGACAAGGCTCGCCTGGCGGTGGCAGGCACACTGGAGCAATTGGAGTATGATCCCTCCGCCAGCTGACTGGCTGTGCTGTCGAAGTGGACTGTGCACACCTGAACAGCAGCCTTAGTGCCTGAGGCTTCCGGTCTCTAGTCTTGATAAGATAAGGTGCCTAGGTGCATTTCTTATCTTATCTAAGGCACCTTAAGGTACCTTCGGTTGATGGACTTTCCCCCTCAGGTGCATCGTCGAGTGTCGTATCTTCAGTGGGAATCAAAGTCTTGCAGGTGCAAGGTCGATTAAGCTCATATTCGCGTGGCTCTCAGTGGAGCAGCATCGATTTTATGGTTTGCTGCCCATCATCTGTCTTGCCGTCTTCGATGTACCCCAAGTCTCATGCCCAAGGTGCTCTATTTGGGGGTTTTGAGTGCTTCATATCATCTCTCGGTTGGAGCTCTTCATGGCAACATTAGTTTGCGGGTGTCACTTTTGTTGCACAACCCCTGCAATGTAATGAGGGAAATAGAAGCAAGAAGCGCGACTCGGACCCGAACCATCGAGACGGTTTGAATCGCGTCACCAACAATGCGGATTAGCCGGAGCTCGGATGGGGGCCTGGACTTGTTCTCCTCCGCGGCACAAGTGGAATTGTCCGACGGTGCACCGGCGGTGGCCCACCTATCCTCGAGATGGTGAGATGGTCATTGGCCGGACCCGGGTGTTGAGAGGTTGGAGCTGCCCGGAGCTGACAGAGTCATGGACAAATGCATTGTCGCCATTTGCCATTTCCACGAGAGGTGCGAGGCATTGCCAAGGTGCAAGTGGGCCAGGGGACCTCTCCACTCCGATACTCTGGCCTGGAGACTGGAGACTGGAGAGAGACCCAGCGGCCTTTCCATTCATTGCAGTCTCTCAGGAAGGAGGGGCATATTTCCACGGAGGGGCTCTTTGCGTTTTTTCGAGTTGACATGGATGCGTTCCATTTTCCATTTTCTGGAGGGGGTCGGGCGTCCGGGCTGGTTTGCCGTTTGGCAAAGGAAGTTAGAACCAGAGGTGGGAAGCTCAGACCCGGAGCCAAACTAAAAGAGCCAAAGGAAGTGTGTGGTCTGCTACCGCCGCCGCCGCCGCCCGCCGCGGCATGGGCTTCTAGTTTGTTGAGTGTTTGAGGCTTTAAAATCCGGGCAGCTCAACTCACCTCAGACTCGACTCAGCCCAAGGGAGCTTGGTCGGAGCTCCGTCGCAGAATGGAAGCTGCACCAGTGTGCAACAGACCGTCAGATAGATGCAAGTGCATGATGGACACGAAGTAGCGGGAGATGATGAAGCAGAATAAAACGAGAAAAGACCCGAAGTTGGAGCTAGACAGTTGGATGTTGCTGGATCCAATGAAAGCGACCGAAATCCCTCATTGTCACCCATTTTATCCGGCCATCACTCCAGGCAGGACCTTCCATCATTCGATCCTCTTGCGCTCTCACTTTCTCTTCCTGCTATCAACGGCGTCATTGCAGTTGCGGCTTGCCATTACTCTCATTGCGTCTACGGAGTACTGCCCAGCTCGATAGGCTCGAGCGTTGGAGAATAAATAGCACGACGTACGGATACACGGTACGGATACTCGGTGAGTGGATCGCCGTCGTATCATTGCATTGCGTTGCGTTGATGGCCCCTTGGATGTTTCTGTTGTGGTTTCCAGTTGGCATCTATTTATTTTCTTGTTTACCGTCTGGTGAAACCACGCTGTTTTTCTGGGCTGGCCTGACGTCCGGACCTCACCTCACCAGGCTCACCTCACCTCGCATCACCCAATCTTGGGGCGCCTCACCATATCCCGGGCCGTTTTGGTATGTGCTATTTGCGTAAACCTTGTTCGGCCCGTGGGCTTGTTGCTTCATTGGCCAAGCGTTTCCAGTTGGTGGATGAGCATGTCAGAGTGAGGTGAAAAAAAAAAGGTGAGGTGAGCAAGAGAGGAAGCAGGAACACATTCAATGCTTCAACTAGGAGGTCGTAGCCATGCCCCTCTGTATTTCCTTCCGTCGTTTCTTTTTTTCTTGGTTGCCGTGCCTCAACATTGGACGGCATGAGATGGCAAAAAAAGATGGATGAAAGTGGGAGGTGCCAGGCTGGTGCGAAGCGCGGGACCCTGAAGCCTGAGCTTAGGTAAGGCAGGGTAGCTGTCACCGCAAGCTCCTCATACTGGTGGGGGGCCCAGTCGCTAAGGTACTGCCAAAGCTGCACTTGCCCACCTCAGTTCCATTGCTTGCATTTCCAATTCTGGCAGGGATTGGGGGGAAGGTGCGTGGGTGCTTGGGTGCTCCCCTCCTGCCATCCGGCCACGGACCAAAGTGCACAGGCCACTCCGTTGGATTGAGGGGCAGCTACGCTCCTCAGCACCTTCTCAGCACCTTTCTCCCCTCCCCTCACCTCACCAAACATGGGGGGGGGGGGTGCCGGCCGGTGCAGGGAACAAGTTCAACGAGGGGCAAAGCGGCGGCCACCCGGGCAGACTGAGGGAAAAAAAAAAAAAAAAAAAAGAGGGAGAAAAAAAAGGCGCCGACACCACCGCCGACGCAGGCCACAGCAAATGGAAGCAGCAAGCAGAGGACGGGGAGTGCGCCGCCGGGCAGCTTCACGCTTCACTTGGGTCGTTTGGGCCAGGAGCAAATTGTTTCTCGTCCCTGCCCCTCGTGTGTCTGCCTCTGCATCTGCCTCTGCCTCTGCTTCTCTTGTCTGAGTCTCTCCTCCCGTCCCGTCTTGCCTTAAGGTGGTCTTCAACAAATACCTGGCTGAGGCTGATGCTCAAATACATCATCTTGTGCATAAATCCTGCATTGGCCTAGCCGCCCCCCAAAATCAAAGAGTCTCACTCGTCAACCTCGTCGATTTGTATGACCTTTTTTTATCGTACTTTTTTTTTATTAGTTATCTCTCCCCTTGGCCTTACGTACCTTGCCTGACCTTGCCTTGACCTCTCCCTCTCTGTGTCTTCTCTCTGCCCACCCCCACTCCCAGCAGGATTTAACAACCGCATTAGACCCCTCCTCCTCTTCTTCCACTCCTCCCTTTCGCCTCGACCATCCTTAAGTAGCACACTTCTCCTCTGCTACATCTATCCTCCATCCTACGGTGATCGACTTTTCCTATCAACTCTCCTCACCACCCGTCCAAACACATACCTATACATCTAGACACAATGGCTGCTACCGCCAAGGACCATCTCGATGTCGGCGGCAAGATCGCATGGCTCTCCAGCCTCGACACCGCCTACCAGCCCGAGAAGAACTACCGCCGTTCTTCCATCATCTGCACCATTGGCCCCAAGACCAACTCCGTCGAGGCCATCAACGCTCTGCGCAAGGCCGGTCTGAACGTTGTTCGCATGAACTTCTCCGTAAGCTCCCCCAACCCCAACATAGACGCTAAAAGTCAACCCCCACCAAAGTCTGCCTATCTTGCTAACCCCTCGCTTCTGAACAGCACGGCAGCTACGAGTACCACCAGTCCGTCATTGACAATGCCCGCGCCGCCGAGAAGGCTCAGCCCGGCCGTCAGATCGCTATTGCCCTCGACACCAAGGGCCCCGAGATCCGCACCGGAAACACAAAGAACGATGAGGATCTCCCCATCTCCGCCGGCAAGATCCTGAACTTCACCACCGATGAGCAATACGCCACTGCTTGCGACACCGACAACATGTAAGCTCTTCTCTCTCTCTCTCAGAAGCTCCTCCCATGGCATTACTAACCGCTGTTTTGATAGGTACGTCGACTACAAGAACATCACCAAGGTCATTGAGCCCGGCCGTATCATCTACGTCGACGACGGTGTCCTCGCCTTCGATGTCCTCAGCGTCAAGGATGACAAGACCGTCGAGGTCCGCGCCCGCAACAACGGCTTCATTTCCTCCAAGAAGGGTGTTAACCTGCCCAACACCGATGTCGATCTTCCCGCCCTTTCCGAGAAGGACAAGAACGATCTCAGATTCGGCGTCAAGAACAATGTCGACATGGTCTTTGCCTCCTTCATTCGCCGCGGCCAAGACATCAAGGACATCCGCGATGTTCTCGGCCCCGAGGGCAAGCACATTCAGATCATCGCCAAGATTGAGAACCGTCAAGGTCTCAACAACTTCGAGGAGATCCTCACCGAGACTGACGGTGTCATGGTCGCCCGTGGTGATCTCGGTATCGAGATTCCCGCCGCCGAGGTCTTCGCTGCCCAGAAGAAGATGATTGCCCTCTGCAACAGAGCCGGCAAGCCCGTCATCTGCGCTACCCAGATGCTCGAGTCCATGATCAAGAACCCCCGCCCTACCCGTGCCGAGATCAGCGACGTTGGTAACGCTATCACCGACGGTGCCGACTGTGTCATGTTGTCCGGCGAGACCGCCAAGGGCAGCTACCCCAACGAGGCCGTTTCCGAGATGCACGAGGCCTGCCTCAAGGCCGAGAACACAATCCCCTACGTTTCCCACTTCGAGGAGATGTGCACCCTGGTCAAGCGCCCCGTCAGCGTTGTCGAGTCATGCGCCATGGCCGCTGTCAGAGCTTCCCTCGACCTGAACGCTGGCGGCATCATCGTTCTCTCCACATCCGGAGAGTCTGCCCGCCTTCTGTCCAAGTACCGCCCCGTCTGCCCCATCTTCATGGTCACAAGAAACGCCTCCGCATCCCGCTACGCTCACTTGTACCGTGGTGTCTACCCCTTCCTGTTCCCCGAGGCCAAGCCCGACTTCAGCAAGGTTAATTGGCAAGAGGATGTCGATCGCCGCATCAAGTGGGGTGTTGAGCACGCTTTGGAGCTCAACGTTGTTAGCAAGGGTGACACTCTGGTCGTTGTCCAGGGCTGGAAGGGCGGCATGGGTAACACCAACACCCTGCGTATCGTCAAGGCCGACCCCGAGCACCTTGGCATTGGAACTTTGTAATGGATTGGATTGCGGACGAGGAATGAAAAAGAGAAGAGAGGCCCGTCGGCGAGCGGGAGATACCAAAGTACCTAGTAAACCGTGATAGACGATGGTGGACTATACTGTCCAGCACACACGAGTATGATTTGCACACATGAATAAAGTTGATATCACCTTCCAAGAATCTTCTTCAAAGCGTTTATCTGTGCCGAAGTTCATCCGAAGTTGAATGATGAATCAGTCGATCAGACGACATCTAAGCTCTCGCGGAGAGCCCAGAATAATGGTCCCAATGAGATGACATCTCCAAGACGGAACGAAATGGCGGCGATTACGTTGCAGCGTAAGGTACTTCATTAAGACACAATCACTATCGCCCTGTTCCAGTCCAACCCGTTCCAGTCACTAACAGTTCTGCCTGCGGAATTGAGCAGACGGGAAGATATCCAGCGGATTGGGTTTGAGACACAAATACGATGGACTGTTAGTCACCACATGAAGTCTCTCATGAGTCTTGCGATCATCAGAATGGAAGCCGAGAATGGAAGAACCCAATTCAAGGATCCATCCATGGTCCATCATCGACATACATCAAGACAATGTCATCTTCACTTGGATTGTTCAATAATATACATTGGGTATGTCTATAAGTTCTCCATTTCCTATAACTTAGGGAAGGCTTTCCCTGGCGTGGTCAATCAAAGCGGCATCTACAGGTCTTTGAGCTCGAAACGCTTGCGCAAGTACTCGCCATACTTCATGATCAGCAACGGCACAGGTAACATGGCGGCAGCGATGAAACCGAGAATACTACTCGCCCAGCCGACGCCCAAGTTCTGGTTCATCTTTAGGCCCGCAAGAGGTAGTGTCGCTCCCGCCACGGATCTCACGACAGCGTTGGCGGCGAGGGCCGAGGCGGCGTAAATGGTGAAGGCGTCGACGAGGTACATCTGCAGCGCCATGAAGATGATGAGGTTACCGATGCCGACGATGGCCGTGCCCAGGATGGGCACGAACCAGTGGATATGGTACTCGGCCGTCCAGCCGTAGATGAAGAGACCCGCGGGGAGGAAGACTGCGCCGGCGGGGAGGGCGACGAGGCGGTATTCGGGCTTCATTCCTTCGCGGACGGTGCCTGCTTCGTCGGCTGCGGCGTCTGCTTCGGCGGCTTTTCTCTTGACGTACTTGTCCGAGGAGAGGCTGAAGAAGACGACGCCGATCATGGAGCCGACGCCGAGGCCCATGAAGGCTAGGCCTGATGTGCCGGCGCTGAAGCCATAGGTTCCCATAAAGACTGAGGTGATGGAGGTGAACATAAGATAGAGGTAGCCGTAAACTACGGCAATGTAGAGGCCGCTATTGCATGTGTTAGTTTAAAGGAGGGGCCACAAGACTTGGTTCAACATGATGAGGATTGGGTTACGTACAAGATCTGGGTGATTGGGGAGAAGGCAATCATCTTGATAGGGCGGATGATGCCTCGCTTGAAGTAGTCGGCCGAAGAGAGTCCAATATCGAGTTTCGACCGCAGCAGAGGGTTCCCCGTCTCTTTCTGAAGTCGCTTCACCTTCCTGTCAAGGATGATGGGCGCGTACGTCTCCCTCGAAAAGATGAGCATGACGATACTCAGAACCCCGCTCACGATTACAATAAGCCAAAAGACCCATCGCCAGCCCGCCGCATCAGCGAGGAACCCTCCCGCCACGGGGCCGATGATGGGACCCAGCAGGGGCCCGATACTAAACGCCGCCATGGCCGCGCCGCGCTTCTCCTGGCGGATCATGTCGGAGATGGAACCCGCGCCGTTCGTGATGGGCGCGGAGCCGAAGACGCCGGCGAAAAGGCGGAAGACGATGAGGGCGTTGAGGGTGGGCGCTAGGGCGGCGCCGACGTTGAAGCAGATGAAGAAGAGGTTGCAGACGTGGTAGACGATTGTGCGGCCGTAGATTTCGCTCAGGGGCGCGCAGAGCAGGGGTCCGGCTGCGAAGCCTAGAACGTAGACTGCGCTTTGGTGTCAGCACGTTTTGTTTCTTTCCAGTTGATCTGTAAGATTGTATAGTAAATAGGGGCTTAAAGGAGCGTTCTTACCGGAGACGACAAAGGCAGCTAGATAGGGGCTGTTGTTGTGAAACTCCCGCATGAGGTCCGGCACGCCCGGGGCAAAGATGGAAGACGCCAGCGGTGTGACGAACGTCATGGCACTGATCAGGCTACAGTTGAGGACCTTGAGCCAACTCGGCCAGTTGTACGGATTCGCAGGGTCGTCCGGGCCATCCCACCAGACAATGTTCTCGTCTTCGGAGCTCTCGCCGCCGTCGCCGTCCTTCTCTGCCGTACCACCAACACCCTTTTCCACATCCTCCCGCGCCATGGACTTGCGAGATCTCGTCCGAGCCAGCGCGAGTGACTGCTTCCTCTTTTCCTCGCCGCGTTCGTCGAGGACGTAACCCATGCTGGAGGGTATGTCGGCATCGTGGCCCTCTGCTAGGGCCTCTGCCGTTTTCTCTTCCCTTGTAGGCTCGCGTTCCAGCCGGTAGAGGCCTCTTGTCTCCTTGTCATCATGGGATATGCTGCTTGCCGTGGCTCCTTCTTCCGCGGAGTGGCGCGGTTCTTTTGTTGGTGAGGTCATTGGAGCTTTAAGAGTACGCTGCCTTGATGTTAGTTCCGATAACCGCTTATACTGCGTCCCTGTGCAGCTACGTAACTGCCAGGAGCTACGAAAGTTGAGAAAGCAAAGGCTTGGCCATTCCGGAATACTATCCGGCGACTTGGCGTGCAAAGACGTGGTGTCTGTGTTTACATGCTCCCCGAATCCCGTAGAATGATCTTGGATCTTTGTGTAAGAAAAAGGACAGGCTTGCCTAAACTACCTCTTATGTCTAGGAAGGCCTAGATTCGCAATCTCTCGCGAGAACCGACACGTGGAGATTTACTCGAGAAAGCTAGTTTTCTAACTTTCAACAGGAGCTTCAGGTGAGTTGTTCTCTGGGAATAGTTGGCTATTGTATGTAGTTGGAGTCGATTATAGTCAAGAGGATATCGCGATTTCAAGTGTAAGGTAAGAATTGGTACAGCTCTCAAGAGACTGCATATCCGCCAAAGAGTCGCTCAACAGGAAAAGAAGCAGAATAACAAGCAGCAACCCAGACACAAAAGCCATGGACCCCTGCGCCTCTTAAACAAACAGATATGGTCTGCCGCTGTCGACCGACCATCGCAACGGGGATTTGACTCGACCGGGTCAGACCACACTCCACACCACCCTCAACATGGGTAAACGCAGCCGAATACCTCAATTGGGGTGCGTTTCCCCCCCTCTCTGGGGAAAATCAACAAGGGGACGGGGAAGAAGAGGGCTAGAAGTTGTCAACTCCGACCCGAACCCCGTTCAAAGGGACTAGGGTTAGATTTGAAGCATTGGTTTGGCCGCTGGCGGCTCGTTTGGAAGGGGGGAAATGGGGTAACGAACTAACAACTTGCTGTGCGTTACATGGGTGCTGCAGCTCCCGTTGGAGCAAGCCCATTTCGCGCTAGACCAATGGCTTCATGTTACGACGCCCAACTGTCGGAGGGGATCACCCGAGCCGTCACGGCGGCGTTCGTCCCCTTAAGCTTAGATGCGAGTGCCAATACGCTTGGCGAGATCTTTGTGACCTCCCTCTCGATTGCCTGCTTCCGACCATCCTCTTTTCTATGCGTGAGACGTAAGGCGAGGGAGAAAATTCTTCGCCAGCTCCGGGTTGCCTCGCTACCCTTTCACCGAGCAGCGGCGTATGGTCAGCTCAGAATGGACATGCACCCCTGCATCAACCAACGAATAACTACACTCGAATGAGAACGGCGCAGCAGACTCGTAAATGTTATCTGCTTCTAATATTGTATGCAAGCAGTGAGCCTGCATACACAATAGGTGCAGTATATTGGCTGCGACTCCTCTTCGGCATGGTACTACCATGGCCAGATACATCTCCGGAGCATGACCGGTTAAGCTCCCGGAGAATGCACGGAGCCGCGATCCACCCGGCGCCGAAGAAGCGGGTCAACCAACGATGTGCAACCGGGCACGAACAGCTGTAGAACTGTGTAGAGGATGTGATCTTGAACTGGAAACTGAACTCCGTGGAGTTTGTTTCAATGTGAGTACATAATAGTTCTTTGGTAACAACTGCATCTTGCTCGTTCCGTTTCCTGCGGGCTTGTTTTGCTTCAAGAAGAACAAGGCGACAAAACCTCAAATGAGAGGCAGGCGCGTAAGGAAAGAAATGAGATGAAAACCAATGTACGCGTGAAGCGCGGCAATAGAGTTAAAGGTGAATACACAGAGGGGTGAATACGCACTCGAGGCCACAGTGAACCTTACCCTCACCTGAAGGGAAGAAAAATATCCACTCGTCTTCACCACCCACTGTCACTGAGGTGCACATCAACAACCACGCAACAGGAAATATTCCGTGCACCTTATCTTTGAGCCCTTCGGTTTACTTCACTTGAAGGGGAGAAAAAAGGCCGAGAAGAACGACAAAAACAGAACAGATACTCCGGACTGTCAACCTGGCCGGCAGCATCGCAGCCATACCAGCACAGAGAGTGAGTTTGACAAGCAAGATTCTCGAAGCAAGCACCTCAGCCACCTTGATTGCTCGATCCGCTCCGACGTAGAGGAAAATGAATGCTGATTATGCCACAGTGACGAAGCCGAAGTCAGCATTGACGAGAAATATCTCGACGCCATTGCCGTATCCTCCCGCGGCCATACCTCCAAAGGCAGCCCGGACGCTGATGGAAAAGCCCAAGTCGGGATGGCCAGCCGGATCAACACGCAAGAACCTACCGCCCTGGGATCGCTCGATCGATGTCGTGTATCACAAATACCGACGTGGCCAGGCGGTGCCCGATAAGGCCATTGAATTTGAGAGATCGGTCGCAATGTTCTTCGCCGATCATCAGCGAACGCAACAGCAGGAGCCGACTTCTCCGTATCTCAGACTTCCCGCAGTCGCACGCTTCCAGATATGCCAATATCTCATTGACGACCACAAATCCGACATGCCCATCTGCCTCAACGACGGCCGGTTCGTGAGAGAGGTCTGGACTGACGATGGTTACACTTCGCTCGCTGCTGCCATGAGACCTCTGCAGCCGTACCTCGAAGTGTCTTTCGCTCTGCGCGCGGATATGCTGATTGCATTTCTCATGGAAGAGCGCTTCCACATCACCCTGTCGCCTTTCGTGGGTCCTTACCTGAACCCTTTGGCAACACTGTGGTGTAATAAATACGGTCACTTCATGCAGCAGGTCATCGTCGAGCTTGACCTGACGCGATTGGGTTTCGGGCCAGGCAAGGAGGCCTGCAAGTTACGCGCAGGAACCGTTAATATGGACGATCTTATCGGGGCTTTCGTTAGAGGCCAATTGAAACGGAAGAACCACTCGACGCTCAAGAGCCTTGTGCTACTCTGCCGGAGATTCTGGGGTGAACGCCCTTCCGACCATCTGCCCCCAGGTTCCAGGCCTGCCAGCGAGCAGAACAACCAAGGAACGTCGACGGAGCCGGAACAAGTGTTCGCGCCCAAGCGGTCGAGCTACGGAGCTGACTTCTCATACTGCCCTGATGAGTTCCTCAGAATCTGCGAGCCATTCGTACGCCTAAATGGCTTGGTCGACTCGATGCGCCTCTGCGGTTTCAGCAACGGCTATACACATTCTCTGCTGCGCCGTATCTTTCCTATCCCTGAGAGAAGCGAGGATATCAAGCATCATACGTACCGAGTGGCGCCTTCTTCAGTCTGGCCGCGCATTCCCGGCCAAAAGTCGTGGGTCGACAAAGGACACGGTAAATTTCAGCTGGATGATCATTCTCGGCAGTACCTGCGCGGCCTCTGTCTTCCAGAGGGAGCAGTAATGCTTACACGACCATACGAGAACCTATCGACTGGACGTATGTCGGTTGAATATGCGTCTAGAAGCATCGAAGAAACCTCAGAGAACGGCGAGGCACGTGAACGTCCGGACAGCAGAACGCAATTGATCGGAAGGGTGTCTCAAGAATCGGTAGCAACGGATGAGGCGAATCTTGAACACAGAATGCAGGTCCTTGTTCACAGAATGCGACGAAGCTTGTCAAAGAGAGAGGTTGATGCTGGTTCGCCGGCGTCCGCGACATCTGCATGGGCAATGTCGGGCTGATCGTCTCGGGAATCAGAAGGGAGCTGGCTGGAGGATGGAACTATATCCAGAGCGACTATTTGAGAGGACACGTCTATATGACTGTCGCAACATGGTGGCATTTCGGCGGACAAGACCTCCAGTCGAAGACACAAAGAAGAGTAGAAGTGGATGCAGACGACGTTTGTCTTAATGTCGTCGCTGAAGTTGGGTGGGAGAAGTTCGATGGAGTTGTTACTTTGTGGTTTGACGTCAGTGCAAGGTACCGTTGTACATAGGCGCAGGTACGTATCCGTCCTCTGCTGCGGAAATGTGGAGAGACAGAAAAAAAAAAAAAAGATCGAAAAAAAGAACCCCGCGATGCCTGGCTGCCCAGCGGTGCTCTGTTCGTCACTGCTGCCCCACCAACATCTTGAAAGCTTCCTCGTTCAGCCCCTCCACGGTCGTACACTTGTCTCTCTCACCAACACTGAGCACAGTCAATCCAAGAAACCTATCACAATGTCTGCGCAAGTTCCCACCAACTTCAACGCCCAAGAGGCTGACAATCTCGAGGATGTGAGCTCGAACCCTTACTTTCTCCGTTTCGCGGACGAAATGCGCTAACTTCTTTTTTGCGTCCAGATCGAGAAGCAATTCGCCGTCAAGGGTACACATGCTACCACTGCCATCTCCGAACCTATCCACGATCGCGAGCTAACCGCTAGAACGTTTCTGTAGTCGTTCAGCACATGGAAACCTACTGGAAAATCCTTGAGAAGGTCAAGGGCTCCACGCTGCGCTTGACCAAGATCGATGACGAGATCTACGAGCACCTGAAGACCGATTTCCCCGAGTTCGACCCTGCCGCGACCATCAACGAGGACGAGATGAAGAGCAAGTCCGGCAAGGAACGGTGGCGCAAGTTCATGATGGCCTACGAGAAGAAGATCGACGATTACAACTTTGGCACCATGGTCCGCGCCAGCCCCAAGTTCGAGTACGGCCAGAACGAGGTCATTTTCGGTCAGTGGCCCCCCGCCGACCCTGCTCTGAACCTCGCCAAAATCACGTTTGGCGATTCTGGCTCTCTCATCTGCTAACTTGTAACACAGCGCCCCGCATGCAGTTCTACGCCATCGAGATTGCGAGAAACCGCAACGGTCTGAACGACTGGATCTACGAGAAGGCCCAGGCCGCCAAGTCTAGCTAAAGGAAAGACTTTTTCGACGATGAACGTCGTCTTGAGAAATGACGCTAAACAGAGATTGACTTGCGATACCACCTGTGCTTCGTCACCTCGGCCAGAAAGCGCTTCGCCCGAGTTAAGAGGCTATGGGCATGAACATCGAGCTGCGAAAAGCCTCATGATTTCGGACGTAGGATTTCATTGAATGGTGATTCCACGGTCTCGACCTCATTTATGATGCGTATAGCACTTGAGGTCTGGATGCTGCTCTCACTCCACCATCCTTGGACGTGGCTTATGAGAATGCGACATCATGGAATTAAATCATGTTGGTAACTTGAGTGTGGTACATACTTCAAATTGAGCAATATACCAGGTAACTGAAATCGAAATGATCCTACGAGCCCCCCTCATGAAAAGAATGTACACACGCTGCAGATACTGCTGCTAAAGTCCGTGATAATCTGGAAGACCTGTTCGAGGAGTTCCGCAGAGAACATGCTCAACGCTGCACAAAAAGCGGAATTTCCGCCAGTGGTGGGAGGGAGATGCTACCATGTGAGGAGCTAACAAAGGCATAGCTATAGTAGCAGCCAAACTTTTCATTGTTGTATCTCGAGGTTGTTTCACGGCGATTAACTTGGATTCGCCCAAGGTGAGGTCGGCTGACCGCCTTGGAGAGATGGTTCAAGCGCCAACATGATGGTAAGCGGATCTCGATAGGCTGGCCATACCCGCAAGGTGACATGGAGAAATTCATAGACGATGGATGGACCCATGTTCGAGAGCTTGCTATC